GTCAGCGCAGTGACGCCGGTATACCGGAGGAACTATTAATCCTACGAATGCTGTAATATTCCTTATCTAACTAGGCTAGCATATAACTAGTTAGAGAGTTGAACACTATTGATTGGACGGACCCCTACGTTTTACAATATGGTTAACACCAGCAATATGCAGGTGCCTAACCCCGTGTGGTATTTTTGGCCCCTCTAATGACTCACCTCGCTATAGTTAACCATCTTGGGCTTAGAACCGTCTAGATTGGTACGCATTGACATGGGGCCATAGCTAGTCTTCAAAGATTATGGAATATAAGAAGCCGCTAGTGTGCGAACTTGCTGCATCAAAGTGCATTATACTTGCCTCCTTCTTTTCACTTGATTTCATATTCCGGGAGACGTGAAGTATGCCAGATATTGAAGCAAGGTTGACATATCTCCAATGGCAACCCAGCTATGCTTATACTCGCCCCTATCAAATTAGGCAATTTGCTAGGCGAAGAATGCCGGGAAAACGACCTGAAAAGACGACCAATTTAGTATTTTGTGCGGCAGAACAAACGGAGACTATAAGGGACATCAGGGCTTTGGCCGGGGGGTCCCGTTTAATCTTGACACTAACGGTTTCGTTTACAAAAGATGCCACAGTCCGGCTCTTACAAAGCCATATGATTATTCGGACCAAGAAAAGATTAAGAGTATCTTTTTGCCGGAATGCGAGGCTATTTTGAAAAATGAGATTGAAGGAGCTGATGATATTTTGATTTTCGATTGGAAAGTAGGTAACGCGAATCTACTTTTGCCCTCAGCCACTGACCTAGGTTTCAATGTTGATAGATCAGGAAGCGAAAAAGCGCAAAGGAGCGAAGACGGAGAAATCCAAATTTGCAGAGTTTTGCCCGGCAGGTTCACATTGGTAGGTTACAGATTTATTTCGTCAAGATGACCGAGTCGATCGAATGAAAGTAGATAATTGCTGACAGTGTTCAAGACACGCTTCTCACTCGGGACGAGATTGGAACTCCCATGATAGAGCGTATTCGAAATCATCTTTCCGAGGAATCTCAACACCTTCTTTCTGGACGAGTCCAAATAATCAAGTGAGTCCCAGGATCCAAAACGGTCTAGACCCCCCCCGGCTCCCTTCCTCCAAATGCCTTGGGCAGTAGACAGCCGAGTGAACAATTGGCCCTAATTGATACGAATAGTCTTTGGCGACCAATAAGTGGACCGATTGAAGATCACCCTATTGCTGTGTGTGATGGTCAAGCCTTGGACCTATGTAACCTGATCGAAACAGATATGGTACTTGGTGATTATACTGGCACTCTTCTCTATCCACAGTACAAGCCGAATGATATCTATCAATGGTATTATATGAGTGGACAGGACGTAGAAGACGTGCTTCTGTTTAAGAGCTTTGATACGAAGGAGGGCAGTGTCAAATGTAAGTGGTCGGCCATCCGTGTTATCAGCTTAATACCCCTAGTTTATGCCCTTCCAAGATTACGGACTGGAGAAGTCATACAGAGTACACTGGTCTAACAAGATTTGCTGCAGATGCTCCTCACACGTCATTTACCTCCTTGAATTCTTCAGGAAATTTGTCTCCAAGGATCAGCGTCGAGGTCAGAGCTTTGGTATTCTCACGCCACGAGTGAGAGAATCTATGATGGAGCCGTGCGGACCACCAAGGTACCATATGGGTGTCCTTGGACAACTGTATAGCTCCGGTATATAGCATGTAGATACGTCCAGTCTAATACAAACCATGCGATCCCTTCTGAATCACAATACACTCGTCGAAAATAAGTAACTTGTGACTATAATGAGATTTTATGCGTGGTAGCACTGCCTGCTGAATTTCATTGTTACTATGCTCCCCGAAATCCATAACATAAGCTAGATATTTCGCAGTTGGGTTATGTTTGGTACGCATCTTACTTGTGATAAAGTAAAGTTAGTGTGATAAAAACCGAGGGGGAAAGAAGGCTACTTGTAACTTTTTTGGTCATGATAGGAAATGTAATTTTTGCTACACAGGTTAAATATTCGGGTGAAGAATATTCAGGTGGGTGAATATCCGCCCTAAGTGCCCTCCCTAATTAGAGTGGCGAGCCGCCCATGCCCGAACTGTGGGCGCTAGGTGACCACTACCTTACACATGCTGTTGTATGTTTTTTTTTCTCTTTTTTTATTATGGAAACTGCCTTTACCGCTCTCATTAACCCCCTCTGCCTATTCACCGTCTAAGTATCAATTTGGAACTCGGTATTTGCAAATAGCATCTCTCTGTTCCCGATGTGGCCGTCCACCGAATTTGAGTATACGAACAGGCTAGATCAGCAGCACACAATACAAATCCCATTTTTTTGCTTTAGAGCTAATACGAGGCAATAGACTGGTCGCGAAAAGGCGGCAAACGGTTTCAGGAATTTGGGACCTTTTATCTCCACACATTTGTGAAGTTCACCCGGCTATCTCCAAACGTGCTATTCGTTACAGGATATGTCAAATCTAGTTCTTCAATCCACGGATCCCCCTAGTAGAGGTTCCCGCTCCTCATCCACCGCTATTTCTCTCCTTTTGTCCCTCTGCCAAGCCGTGAAAAACAAAACACCCTGCCCCATCGCAAATATACCATTATCAACAGCGGGGAACCCAACTAAGCTATACCAATACATAAAATTGTCGAGATTTAACATGCCCCATCGCAATGGAGCAGTTTCAATCGGAACACGCCATATCCATGTAAAAGTCACAACAGCAAAGACAACAGCTTGCACCGCCAATCCGCAGATACTTAGAGCATTGCCTGGTTGACTCGGTAGTTCTGGGCTCCTTGCTTTTTTGATTTCCTGAAGCTGCGAGAAAACAGCATATACCGCCAACACTGTTACGAAAGGGTTCAGCAGACACATAGAGAAGAAGAATATCCCCGAAGCTACAGGATCACCGTAAGTGTGATCTGGCGAAGGGAAACCGTAGAGGATATCCAAGATTGGAGGGATGATTGATATGGGGATGTAGAGTGCGTATGCGACAATATAGAACGGCTTGGAGGATGTGTGTCGTAAGCAGGCACAGAAACTGGGTGATATGTTAGCCAGGACTTGCTTAATTGTAACTATAGCCGGGGGTCGGTATTACTGACAGTGTTAAAAAGGATAACCAAACCACAGCAGTTTGGTACATATTCAGTCTATCTCCGAACGTCGGGGGACGATAGACGAGTGGGATGTCTTCTTCGGGGTCCTTGGCTATGAGAAGGTAGACAAAGAATTTGAATTGCTCTGTTGCGCAGAGGAGGTTCCAAAATATGTAGTCCATGGAAACCCCTTTGTTGGTCTTTTGTGCCCATATGCGATGCAGTTGAGGAAGAAACGATAGAGCGCTTAGGATGGTGAGAGCCCTGCGAATTTCCAAGCTTGTTAGTCGTCTTGTGTTTTTTGTTCTTGCTCGTATTGGGACATACACTCGGAGACGGTCAGGTATGTGAATAAACAGCATTTTGAGTAGAAGTAGCCCATATGATAGCTACAGGCTGGATAAGTTAGGTACTCAAACAGGGTTGGAACATTCCAAGGTTGAGCGGTTCCTTCGGCAATCATCACCTTGCCTCTTCTGGTCTGGCGCCTTCTCTTTGGCCTAGTATGTTTGACCTGTTTGCATGTAATATAATTTAGATAAGCAATATCCCATTTCAAATGTTGGTGGGTTTGAATACTGTCAAGAGGGGGATTCAGGGCTCAAGGGCATTTCAGAATAGGGCTCGGAAACAATCTGTATGACACTTCTGTTTCGACAGAGTAATTTGACCATACAGTATTTAAAGTTATGTATTTACCGACCTGTATTATTCCCGGCACTGTCAAAGTATATGACAAGCCACAGCTTCGGAAATTTTGAACGGGTAAGACAAAAACATGCGTCTCTCTGTTACACTTTCTTGTTTCCTTGATCGTTTGAGTCTTAAATCGCCTTGGTGCGAAGTTGCATGCCTTATATTTCGAGTGTCGGTGCCTGAACTATTAATTTTAGACCGCTTCTGGCACCGCTCTATACCGTGTACTGTAAACCTTCTCCTACTATGTAGTAATTAAAGCTATTCCCACTTCATCTCTATATTCACCGGATTCTTGACCAATTGTAACATCAAGTCCTGCTGCAATGGCAAGCCATAGACAATAGTTACACCTCCATACTCTTCTTGATTCAGAAAAACTACTTCCAACCCGTAGTACGCATCTTGCTCATGACAAAGCGAGGTTAAAGTGATAAAAGGAGACTGGAGAGAGGAAAGCGGAGGGGAAAACATGACACCTACAGCATTTTGTTCAGAATGGAAAAATGCACCTTTTACTGTACGGACTGTATATTCGGGTGATGAAAATTCGCCTTGAATGCCCTGAATAGAACCATGCCCGAACCGTGGGGGCTAGGTGACCACCACCTTAGACATATGTTTTTTATTTTTTTGACTGAATCATTGGGTTTAACCCATCCTTATAGCCTATGCTTTCTCTATCTTGTTCCGATTTATCCCGCCAAAAAAGGGGGAAAAAGCCGACTCAGATACGAGCGTGGATTCCTCTACCCCGTCTACTGCGTGTATAAGCCAGACGCAGATATGTTATTAGTATAGGTGACTATATACCAGTCCCTACTATTATATGTCTTTGCTCGCCTGTTGTTTTGAAATAGTTTTATTGTGCTTCTAGCCCTTCTCACTCCAAGTTCATCATATTGTGTCGATGCAAAGCGATAGATGTCTCACTTATTCATTCCTGGACTACTAGTGAAAAGAAAAGGCCGATATCGCGAGCAAGCTGCTCATATTAATGGTTGCTGACGGAAAGTTAATATTGTAGTATACTATTTAGAACATTTCTAATATTGCGACATGATGGCGTTTTGCAATAGCGTGCTACCAGACAAATATCACCCCAAGCCATTTCCCCGCAGATATAAGAACTGTCAGTAACCCTTTTTTCTTCATTCACCAGCAGAAACAAAATGGGTAGTATCACAGCAAATCCTTTTCAAGATGTCCCAGCGGGCCGAACAGGTAAATGATACAATTGACACATTCATGACCCAAATTAACAACCCATGTCTAGAGAGCCTCGAGGTTCTCATCACACAGTTCCGAGCGGATACCGACCCCAACAGAACTGATCTCCTAGTGGGCGTATATAAAACTGAGGAAGGGAAAGCGTATGTGTTACCAAGTGTGAAAGAGGTATATAACGTCTCAAATTTTACCATTCTACACCTCCGATGGATTACTAAATTTTGATATTCACGTCACAGGCAAAGAACAGAATCTTCAATGATCCTGATTGGCATCATGAGTATCGCCCTTCGTCTATAGGTTCCCAGCTTTATAGAGGGTTGAGTGCCAAGTTGCTTTTTGGGCCTGATCATCGTCTTTTGCGGGAAAACAGGTAAAGAAAGCCGATATGCTCTTGAAAAAGTCGTCCCAGAGCTGACTTTTATTCTTAGGATAGTTACAGCGCAGACCCTTGGCGCAAGTGGCGGATGTCATGTCGGCGCAGTTATGTTGAAAAATCATTATGGACCGTGGAAGGAGAACGGGAACCCAGAGATTTTCCTTCCCACCGAGTCTTGGTGTAAGCCATCGTTTGATCACCCTAAGAAAACAATTCTGACTCGATCGCAGTGAATCACCCTTTCTTATTCGAGTCTGCGGGAATTAAGCCCAGTTTTCTGCCATATTATAGCAGCAAGACAAACGCATTCGACTTTGTGGGCTTTTCAAAGGCCATCAAGTCGCTACCAGCTCAGTCCGTTATTCTTCTCCAGTCTGGAGCCCAGAATCCAACTGGATGTGATCCATCACCGGACCAGTGGCGAGAACTAGCCTCGATCTTCTCCCAGCGCAGTCATTTGGCATTCTTCGATGCTGCATATCCCGGCTTTGCCTCGGGAGAAATTGACGCGGACCTTGCGGGGGTTCGTTTGTTTGCGGAACAAGAAATCCCGCTTGTTTTTGTCTCAACATACGGGAAATCCTTTGGGCTTTACAGCGAACGTGTTGGAATTGTTTCTATTCTTGCGCCGAGCGAGGAAGTGGGAAAGAGAATAGAAAGACATTTGAGCCTACTCGCACGAGCAGAGTGTGGAGCGCCGCCCGATTTCGGGTCCAGGATTATTGAAACGATTCTATCAGATGATATCTTGGAGCGCCAATGGCGGCAGGAATTGCGTCATATGGCGAACCAACTCATGAGCCGTCGAATTGCGCTTAGGGAAGCATTGGAGAAATTGGAAACACCGGGTGACTGGCGACATATCACTGACCAGAGCGGAATGTTTTCGTGAGTGTTACCAAGAACGGACCCCAGGAGATTCGCCATATTGACCTTATTTAGATATGTTGGACTGTCCGTGGAACAAGTCACTCTCCTCCGAAAGAAACATCATGTTTATCTTCAGGACACTGGGAGAATATCTATTGCGTACGTTTGATGCACATGTTTTGGGAATACGCGTTGAGCTGACATATTTTATTCTTTAGTGGGCTCAACAATTCCAATATCGACTACACTGCTCGCAGTATCAGCGCTGTTGTCAAAGCTACAGCACCCAAATGACCGCGAAGATGGTGTATAGATGGGGAAATGTGACTTGAGGGCATGGTTCACTTCTAAACCATATCTTCAAAGTCCCGGGCACTGCAATGCCAGATCCTCGTTTTGGCTCGCTGCAGTTTTGAACTCAGAGGGCGAAATTATAGTTCGTTAAATAAGGAATCGTCATTATTATTTACAAGAGCGTAGCTTCCAAATTACAACCCAATGAAATCGGAAACCAGATCACGATTTCCCATAATCAAGTCTCCTACTCAGAAAGAAATTTCTAGATATGACCTCCATGTCCATGACTTCCGTGTCCATCTTGATCAGAGCCTTGGTCTCGCGGACTTGCATTCGCAGCTGCAACAGACCAAGCATGTAACTTGCCCCAGTTCCTACATGTATGAACTTGTTCGAAATTGGGCTATAGTGGTACTTTGTTTAGCAGTGTCCTTTTGTCTCCGTTAGAAAGTACTAAACTTACGAGAGACATGTTGATTGCCGGCTCATAGTATAAGACAACAGGCGTCATATCTGCACTACACTGAATGCTCTGTCGAAGATAATCCAAACAGTGGTCTTTTTGAATGCCAAATGTCAGCTCGGTGTAAAGTCGATCGCCTCCAATGGATGCACAGAATATGTCAATAGATGAAGACGAACCTATGTGAATCTTTGTCCCGTGTGGAGACTTGTCTAAGGCACCATAGTATTCTGGTGCATAAGCCTTGCGTATTTGGTTCTAATACGGCATCAGTGTGATTTCCATCACAAATGTGGGAAATGTGAGATATAAGTTGTGCAGAATCAACATACTATGCAATGCAGCTGGTGAACAGCATCCAACCCGGTTTCATAGGCCTGATACTCAGGGCGGAAAAACGTCCTATCTTTGACATCGGGTACTTGTGATTCGGGTAGATTCACAATTTGGCCTGTCATCATGTTAATGAATATATTTTTTACCACATTCAGTCTGGGAAGATAAGGACTAACCATATAATAGTTCATCCCATGCCTTGTCAATCTCTGGTGATGGAGGACCAACATACTTCGGCCCGGGTATGTCCTTTATATACACACTTCCATCGGGGTTAAAGTGAATACCACCAGTGAACATGACTTTCTCTAGTTCTATTTGACTTTTTGCGGCAACTAGATTATTTATTAGCAAACCACGACTAATAATCACATATTCTGCACTGACGTGAAAGTCAAACCAGCTGGGCATGAAACAGCCATAACTTACCAAGGTCCGTGTCAAAGCCATTTTCAAATTTGCCGTAGCACTTTGAATCTTGCATGAAAATTTGCAAAAGGAGGAGAATGATCATGACCGCTAATGCAATTAGCACCACGAGAAGGTTGATGACAACTCTGGTAAACAGAGAGCCATTTTGATTTTGTCGAGAGTTCAAATCACTACCAGAATCATTTCGCTCGTTATGATGGGGTAGAAGATGGTCTCTGTCCTTTTCTGCGTCTTCTAATGTTACGAAATCTTTCGATTTTTGTGTTCTCATTTCGAGCCACTTCGGGTAGGGCATGCTGGTCAGATACGGGCAGGTCGTAGCAACGATGAGAGATGTTATGGATACAGACGCAGGAGCTCTGAAGAAATACAAAATAGTCAGTAAAAGGCGTCAGACCGAATTATGAGGCTAGTGGTCCAATGATTGTTGTGTTGAGTCAACATCCCATAATCATGCCGAGGTGGGCAGAATGAGGGGCAAAGTTGAGAAGTACCAAACACACGTCCACGATTGGATGTAGTCGAATATTTCAAGCTTTCAATTGGCTAATCATGCTAAGAGGATTGTTGAGTCAACAACAGGTCACAATATCGTCAACAAACATTTCATGTGAGCATGGCATTGGACTAAATCCTTCTTTTCCTGCCATCTAAATAGACCACAATCACCGCCCCCAACGAGATATTTCCAACTCGGCTCATATTCAATCCAACTTCGACAATTCCTCTTTTGAAAATCACAAATTTTCTTTCAGCATCATGAAGTTTACCGCAGCTCTCCTTGCAGCCGTGATGGCCGCTTCCGTTGCTGGCTCGCCTATTGTCAAGCAGGCTAGTGAATCCACCGGTGCTGTCCCCAATGGAGATGATTATGAACAAGCGCATATCTACTACCGCAGAGACGACTACAAGCACCAGAACTCAATGTACGGCAAGCGTGATGAGGCGACGCCAGAGGGAAATGACTACGAGCACCAAGCCTCCATCTACAGCAAGCGTGGCGAGGCAAAGCCGGAGGGGGATGACTACGAGCACCAAGCTTCCATCTACAGCAAGCGTGGCGAGGCAAAGCCGGAGGCAGACGATTATGAACAAAAGCACATCTACTTCCGCAGCGACGACTACAAGCACCAGAACTCAATGTACGGCAAGCGTGATGAGGCGACGCCAGAGGGAAATGACTACGAGCACCAAGCCTCCATTTACAGCAAGCGTGGCGAGGCAAAGCCGGAGGGAGATGACTACGAGCACCAAGCTTCCATCTACAGCAAGCGTGACGAGGCAACTCCAGAGGGAAATGATTATGAGCACCAATCTTCCATTTACAGCAAGCGTGGTGAGGCAAAGCCGGAGGGAAATGACTACGAGCACCAGTCTTCGATCTACAGCAAGCGTGGTGAGGCAAAGCCGGAGGGAAATGACTACGAGCACCAGTCTTCGATCTACAGCAAGTGATGGTGATAACGCACTCTGAGTTTCGATGAAATTCCGAGCCCAGCAGTGGGACGACTGAATTTTGGTTCTCTCGCAACTATCTTCACGCTGGCTAGAAAGGTTTCTCTATTCATGCAATTGAAGCATTCCTGATATTGTGCTCCCGGATGCATTTGATTACAACAGGTCATTTGTGGGATCCGGGATAAACTTTTGAACAGAGAATGTATGTTAGTCTAAATCTAGGCTAGAATATGATCTTTTGGAAGTGTTGAAAGGCTTGATTATCTGAACAGTATGACAATTCACTGATAAAGGGACCATGCACATACCTCCCTCCACTATGTATCACTCTGGATCTGGACGAGGGACGTGAGAAGGGAGATATTTTCAACTATCAAAGAAAACGTGTGCCGTCCTCGGGTGGTGATATATGTCCCCGTATTTTATTCGCTTAAATAATGTCGCAAACAAATATCCATGACCTCTAGGGCTCGGTGGGTTCGACAAACCGATGCGCAGCCATTCCGCTCATTCACCGAGGCAATTAAGCTGAGTATCATAATTGGATTAGTGAGTCTGTTCGTGATTATAGTGGTCGGGTCAATGTGGCTCTTTTGGGAGCGGAGGGTTTCGCGGAAAGTTGGCGATACCCCACGAGAGACCCGGTCTGCGGCCTCAGACCCCTGCGGGACTCCTGGTGATCCGTCCGAGTTGATTCGACAATGCACAAGGTCACATGAGTAAAGGGACGAGGGAATACTAGATCTTTACTTGGTTGAACAGATTTGTAGATCGAAGATATTCAATCTCTTATTGAGAAATACACATAGGTTGCAAATTTTGACACTAAGTACCTTTCATATGGTATGACCAGAACTTTATACTACTTTTGTGTTAGATTTATACGACGTATAACAAAGTAAGCAGCGTGATTAATTATCTTAGTAGTCTTCGATTAAAATGATTTACCATTTGCCCGTTTGGTCAATGGGTCTTAGACCCACCTTCCTAAATAGTATAATGATGAAATTCAGAGACCCTGAATCCTGCGATTCCTGCTGAATATCATAGGTATCTACGTGTTGCGAAATTGGATGCAATCGAACCCTCAAGCGTAGTCTATACTCCGTATGCCTACCTTATCCTATAAAGGCAGGTCGGCTTGACCCCGCACTGGGTACAGACCTGAAAAGCCACGGGTTTACCAAAATCACTGCTATATCAACCGAATAGTTCAGGTTATCATGCCAGGTTACTGATTCACATACTCTCCATCCCCACTTCCCGGGCCATACTCTGTCTAAGCAACACCAACCACCGGGGCCGATATATAACCTCTCTAACATATCCACTCTCAGTGCTTAATTCAACTCTGTTTTATACTCCTTAGAATTTTTATGGCCTCGAATCGCAGTTTTAGAAGGCATGGGTTATTATTATTTAATTATGATGACCTATAGTGGCGAGCAATATCGGGTTAGTGTGTTCTCTAGATCGGGTTGGATATGGGAGTAAGCGTGAAGATTGACTAGTTTAAATCGATTCAGCTCCGTACGGAGTCCATATATCCTCCGTACTCCACTCCACAAGTCTATGCTTTTTGTTGAACAAACGAATAGGAGATAAGGTCATCATGCACCCACGCATGTGGTGGATCGATATTTGAAGAAAAACGGCTGAGGAAAAGCGGTAGGCTCATAATCCTTTCCCTTGGCACATTCGTCGCCCGCATAATACCCCAAAAGGAGCAAGGAGATAGACACTATGACAGTAGTAAATGTTTCTATCCCAATCAAGGTCCGGTTCATACGCTTATGACCAGAGTCTAGTCTGGTATAACATTCTTGAAGGATTCGGTTGTCTTAAACCTAGTAGTGATATCGGTTTGCACTATATCCCCAACCCCTCACTTCACTTCATTATGGCAATTTTAGGCAATGGTGCAGCTAATAACAGAAATGGCGATACATCTCCACTTTGCTTATCTACTCTTGGCTTTTGGCAACTAGCTGCGAGCCAGTTGTAGCTCAGGTATTAATACACGCACAATGTGTCTACTAGCACACCAATTACCCAGGTTTCCTATTCATTCACTTCAAAATGGGATCTTCTGAGGTAAGCCGGAGACCTATCCAAAATCACTTTGACATAGATCCTTACTGATGGTTGGCGGGAACTAGGAGAGACGTGCACAGCTACGCGAATCACAGCGAAAACATCGTCAGCGCCAGCAGTCCGAGCTCGAGGCACTGCAATCACGAATAAAATCATTGGAGCATTTGTTAAATGTTGTTGATGAGAGGAAAGAAAAGCTTCAAACCATGGTCTTGGAATGCCTCACTTTGTTGATCGCGCGAGAACGACAACTTAAGGTCAACAGCTCATGTTGCTGTCAAACAAATGTTGCCCTGGGTGGTACTACAAATATATCGGTGGCTAGAACAGATACAGTTCCAGACGAGCTGTTGTTGAGCCAACTTCTGGGTTCATCAAAAGGAATTCTTGATCAAACTGGAAGGATGAGAACTACAAACGTTTCGGTAGCGGCAACGCTTCCTGGTGAAGACCTGTTGAATGACATGGTAGAATCACCAGGATCTCATGACAACATTGAAAACCTAAGTACTATGTACACCCCAGTGGCTGCAACAGCAATCATTCCAGGCCCCTCGCTATTGAATCAACTGCTAGAAGGGCTGGGAGTGACACTAGATGACTATGAAAGGATGCGCACAACCAGCACAAGGGGCTCCTCAGTATCAAGAAGTTTCTCTTCTTCCGGGTCCCCCATGGAGACTACCGCTCAGTCTTCGATGGAGGGGTTTGAAGATCATGGACTCCCTTCTTCGGGTCCCGATATGGTCCACAGTATGCTCGAAACAATGGCAGAGGAACTTGGACTAGATTCCTTCCAGATGAGAGATGATTATAGGAATTCTTACTAGTTGCTGCTGCCAGATCTCGGGAAACTGGATCTATGAGTAAATTGGGCTTACTCGCAAAAATTTTTGTTTCTCCTATCAGATAATTCCGCCTTTTCTCCCATGGAAATATATAAATTGATGATTTGGAAATAAGCTTGATCATCTCATAGGAGTAGTTTTGGTGTAGTTCGAGGATGACCTTGATCATTCATGTTGTAGCACTGTGATAATATCAATTTATACCGTATAACAGCATACAGTCATATTAGAAATTCCAAAGTCATTTGATCTCTGATGTTGTGGTCAAGAACCTGAGGATTGGCCAGAAGTATATTTTGTATGGGAAGCCTATACAAAAGTACTTTCTCTGTTAGTTGCGGAAGAATGGATAGAGAGAAAACCCGAATTTAAACCATATGCCCGTTTAATGACTTGGCAAGCATGAGCTCACAGTAATTTTTGTATATTCCACACATATAAAATATACTCCATTTGCCCACCTTGACACATGGTGGTTCGGGGAAGTAAAGGCTGACGGAATGGATTCCTTGGCAGCATGTGGCGTTGGATACGAGATTCGAAATGCTTGTTTCATTTCAATCAGGGGCCTGGGAATATTTTCTTAGCTACATTACATTAGAGGTGTAGGGAAGGGGTCTCCCAATGTTTGATCAATATTTGAAGAAACTCAACCCCCTAATTCAGACCTCATATAGGTTCGCACCCTCTTGTTCTCTTATTACTTTTAAAGACTATATAATTCCTTCTAGTGGTATAACCTGTACATACGACCATAGGGTGTGGAAAACAGGGCTTCCCGTCCGCTCAGCCGTACTTAAGCCTAGTTTTCTGCAAATTCAATAGTCAATGCGCCCTCAGCACCTAAGCGGCACTACAGGGTGAGTGCAGGTGATATGGGTGAGAAGTCGATTCTGGGGTGAGAGGTAAGAACGGGGTGACAATTCTCACCCTTAGGGTGATAAGAGCCAACTCACTCTGAACCTATGCCTATTCTAAGAAAAAGACATAAACACAAGGGCTGAGGCCCTTCTCTTGCTCTGTTATGATTTTCTTTAAATTTCTTTGTCATTCAAAGTATGTTGTCTGAAAAGAATATCCAGAAAGCAGTCTAAAAGCGTATCGCACGTATCGCATTACATAGTTTCATACGTGAATATCAAAACGAAAAGGAAGATAAGGATAATATTCTTTCTTATTATATGTTAACGCCTCCTACACTACGTTGCAGACCACGTAGCAGGTTGCTATTAGATCGACCCCACCAACATTTAATAATGGAACTTGGCGATGGATCGGTCCGGAGTACGCCGGTAAAAGCAGCTCTTATTGGAGGCTGATCTCCGCAGCCGCAAATCACGTCACGGGACCATGCCAAGAGAGAGGAAGAGAAAAGGAGTGGAACAGGTCTAAATAAGGCCAGAATGACAGAATCCCTCTCATACACTCCGTATAAATCCTTGCCTAAGGTGAATTCATAGGGAAAGAGTCTAGACCGCACGAACGACGCATTGTCATTTATATTCAGGCAACCTGACTAGCTTATCGCTTTTTTGTATAGAGCTCCTTATGCGTAAAGAACACTGGACTGTATAGCAGTCGATGAAATCACGCACCTTTGGCTGACAAAGGGGGACTAAGCTCCAAGGTTGTTTCGCTGCGGGGTCAAATGAGCTGTAAACAGGTCCAACACGCCCCTTTCATGATCATAGCTGCGGAGCCAACTCTTTTTCTCTTCCTCCCGTTATTATATTGTTATCCCCTCTTCTCATTCAGATTCGAATCGCAATGACCCTCGTGTTTCGAGCTCATGCAGGTTCTCTTCAGCAGGTGCAGGTAGGATTGCCAGACATAATTTCCACCTTATCGTTGGCACAGTCTGCTTGGGGATGGGTTGGCGGTCTCCGTGTTGTGAGCAGTATGCTGAAAAACATACATGGAGTTTTCGCGGATGAAGCGGCCAAAAGGCTTGCAGTGCCAATTCAGGTCGGACCAGCTGTATTCCGCCTGTTTACAAGTGACGGTAGCGAAGTGTGCTCGGATGACCCCCACCCACTTTTTGGCGAAGACTTTCCTACACAGCTAATAGGTCTATCTATCTGCGCGATTGCGCATATCTTTGGGGGGAAAATTGCTGTCGAGCTATTTATGAAATGCTTGGCACCTACTCTCTTGACGTTGCCAGAAGCACACGAGAGTTTATATTTGCAATTGATTAACAACCATACAAAGATTCTGAATGAAGGAGCCACACGAGGCCTAACTGCAATCTTCTCAAATGCGGTTGATCAGCTGAATCAACGGTGCTGGAACGCGCTTCGGCGCTGGAATGAGGACGAGACAAGCATAGACGGTGTCGCCATCACTGATATGTTGAATGTAAACAGTTTCTTACGATGAGTTACTGTTCCCAGGAAAGAAAGATACTTTACAAGATGCAATCTGGTTATGCAGCTAGCTGCTTGTATGAGATCGGTTGGATATTGCATTGGTGGAATTCAAGCCTGGGATGGTTGTGGGGATCGACCGCGTGCTTCTGGATCCAACTCTGTCATCTTAGTCACAGGAAGCACTTGGGATACCGATATTTTCCTCGAGTACCAGGACAGCTGTGTCATGCCAACTTATATTCATCATTAGCATTTCAGCACAGCAGGTGGAATGTTTTCAAACGCACTGGGAAACAAAGCCAACATCCCCCCAGAAGTATTTCAGACTCTCTTTGAATACACACATTCTCATGTTAAATATGAGCTGCGCCTACGTTGGAAAGCCGCAACACCATCTGAGGGTCAAAGATTCAGGGAGAATAAAAGCGATGCGGCAATCAAAAATTTATTTGTGGAACCCGAATGGACCTGTGGGGAGACCAAATCGACGCCTATTTCCAAGAGATTGGGCTCACTTTTTTCCCGAAATCTGCGTCACGCCTTGGTCCTTGCTATGAGCAATTATCAAACCTTGACAGCTTGGAATACATTCTCCAACGAAACTGTGGCTATGACAACAAGCAGCAACAAAGAGACTTGGCAACTTTTAGTGTTATTACAGTATCTATTGTTATTGCTGCCGCCTCAGTCTTGGCTGGCGAAAGCTTCATGAATTTCCGACATTGCATTGACCTTAACCTTGAAGATGGCGATCACTGGCAGCGCGCTCTCTGTCCTATGGTCGATGATATTGTCGGCTGGAGACATGTAATATATACAGTACAACCTGCTGTTATTGCGGATATGGATCCTGCATCAAATGCACCGGTATTGGGATGCTACCAAGGATTTTGCGCAAATATAGCAGTTCGGCCCAGTGGTGCGATTATCAGCAGCAGTGAGAGCCTCTATATTGACAACATCCCGGGATCAAAAATCGATAAATCCGGCACGTCGGTTTATGATTTGTCATTGTCAACACCACACATCGATTTTCCAGAGATGAGATTTACAGATAGTTCGTTGTACTTGAGTATCGGGCGCTCTCCATTTGCAGATGAGCCCGAAGTTCTCTTCAATGGGCGTATCGGGGGTCGCTCTATAGGGACCGCTGGAATTAAAGATGCAATGATCACCTTGGTTTTGAGCCAAGGTCAAGAAAATTGTTCTGGCCATCAAAGTATGATCAAGGTGGTAAACATCACCGCTTCCAAATGGGTGGCTAAAAGGCACCACAAACCGGTTGGCGAGTGGGGAAATCTTCATTCTTTTATCTCAGTCAGTGAGACTCCGTCCTGGGCGCTACTCTTAGCGGGCCAGTCATTTCATTTCGATAGAAGGGTTGTGCATCATTGCTTCAATTGCGCAGCTAAAGGAATACTTCCCGGGTCGGTGCTCATTGGGATTTAATGGAACATACTCGTTCTTTCTCTCACTGTCGTCTTACGCAAAGCAGCGGTTTATAGACAAGCAAATTGAGAAGGTGAGGTCGTCGGAGTTGATTTGATCCAGGACAGCCACTGCTTAATCATTAAGCGAGATTCATGTCATATACGTGTATATTCAATTTCTTTTCTTTCCAAGCTCAGTGCCAACCCGAATCACTCCTTGTTGGTTTCTGAAGAGACGTCCATGCAAGATGAGCAATATTTTTGTTTTACAGCCATGGCGATGTTGGGTCAGGGTCAAAAGATCTAGATAGTTCGCTCATCTCCCTTCTCTCTCTCCTTTCTTCTTCTCCTTCCTCTCCGCCCTTCTATTCTGTTATCAACATCATCCATTATTTTCCGATATCTATTTTCCTCGGGTTATGAGCTCCTCTCTTTAGCCTGGGCGTTTGAGATTTGTTTTCCTCTGAGTTAAAACCAACGAAAATCGACAACATACATCCACTATATCTGGATCAGAGAAGGACTAGAACACGTCCCTTGCGGCTTGTGAGCGTCAGGAATAGGCAACATATTCCCCTCCTGCTTTATATGCTCGTGCCCCTTAGTTTAATATCGATGGAGATAAAGAGGATGTTACTTCTTAGGTATGTTGCTATAATATTCCTCCTACCCTATCGGCGCCCCCCCTAATTTGTTGCTGATCGTATGAACTAGTAACCCCTTTGCGCGATCGAAATTGGCACTTTTTCTTATAGCTTCAGGGCACCAACTGTGGACGCGGGGCATCTTTCTTATGACAGGCATTTGGAGTACATCACTGCTTAATTTTTATTACCTAGGCAGCACTAAATCGAGTACCTAGAAGGGAAAGGCGACTATATTGTGTATAATTTCAGGGGTAGAGGAGGTTGCTAGACTTCCCCCCCCTGGATCGCCTTCGGGTCAGAGTGCCTGATCTGCAGTTTATTGTTGACATGGGAGCAATAGTTTGAGAAACGATGAGTGAGCCCTCCCTACTTGCTATGCTAATTTTATTTAGTTCCGAGAAGAGTATTTTTGGCGAGGAGCTTTGTTCTGGAGTTTTGGTAAGTTCCCATTCTCCCTATGGTTACCTAATAATATTTTAGGTACTGCGACTATATTCGGCGGATGGGAATCTTTTATTATTATTCAGGTGAGTCATTCCCCTTCCCCAGTTACTGACGTCTCTTAGGTCCAGGCCTCGGATGCTCAGGCTGCTGAGATTGGAGGATTGGGCTTGTACATAGATTAGATAGCTCGTAGTTATAAAAAACACCGACAAAGAGCTCACCCTTCTACGCAGGGCCGATAACTAGTAGCCCCCGGGCGAAGCCAAGATGAGCTCATGTATATCTACTCTCCTTCATAGCAATACCACCAAGTGGTTCATTTTCTTACTTCCTATTACTGCATGCTTAATACCGTGAGGGCCATGAGGGAGTTGCCGTCAAGTGCGTCTCCTTTACGATTTATTACTACAGCTACAAAACACGCAAGCAGTCTCTTTGCGAGACTTTCTGATGAGAGGTTTATAGAGCGCGACCTCAGCTTCTGGTACCAAGAAGAGAGGATGCTCAGGTTTGCAAGAAAAGCGAAAACTTTGATTGGGCTTGATGTCGGGGATATCCGAGTTGAGGATGTAAGACTTGAAAGCTAATATATGCAGTGTCGCTAGGCTCGACACATAGACAATTTGTGCAGACAGGCAAAATCTCATGACTTAGGAAATCTGCATATACTCGGCGATGTTGAATTTATGCAATTGGCACAATATTCCTCGCTTGGACCTCAGAATTTCCCTTAGGCGAAACAATAGTCTGACATTATAAGCCGATCATTTCTTCTCCACTGGGTGGAAGCAATGAGCCTACATTCAACGCTCATCTCCACGCGAAGTTTGTGGTTCGTGAACAACAAACGCACTGCTTTGGCCCCAGGCGACATTGAAGTCAGCCTCGCTGTTGATTGAGCCAATGCCGAGTTGGAATTCGATGGCAAGTGCAGGTGCCAAGAGATCGCGGTTTCAGACATACCGAGGTAAACCAATAACGCTATATCTGCGCTAGTGTGGCGGTAACCGACAACCTGGGGTGATTCTCACCCGCTTTCACCCAAATGAATGTTCCTATTTCTATACGTATCATGTATTACTTTTCTCCACCTTTTGGGCTTTACAGATGGCCGCACACCAATTGTCGCAGTGTTGTGGCTCCAATCTGAAACTTCTGGATGCCACAGATTTTGGTTCGAGCCAATCATAATTTGACAAGCCGCTCCTTGGCAACAAGGCCCAAATCAAATGATTCGGCTTCAATGCAAGCTCACCCGGAACCAGGCTTAGCGCAGTCGCAACAATAAATTTAAACCGTAGATATCCACTCTCTGGCTTGGGTTCGTGGTCTTTAGAGCCCTGCTTTCTACTATTCTTGTAGCTAAGTTAAAATTGGGTTCTCTCGCCTTTTCTTTCGACACCTTTATTGCACCAGCCTCCCTGATGACCCTAAGAACGTCCAGGGTTTCATACTTACTATCGATTTTGTTGGTGAAGAAGCCTGCATACTCTCAGCAGGGTATAAATTGTGGTAAGGACCAATCATAGGGCGTATAGACCAGCGTTTGATCACTGTTCATTTGATGATTCCATTTCTGATAAAAATTTGGTTTTCACCAATAAGGCAGGGTTGCAAGCAGACCCAGCAAGTCGGCCCTCGGAACCGGGCCCGACCCGTACCAACTAAAGTGGAGAATTATAGAAGCCTATCCAGCTGCATAGTTCATTTCGCGGTTGCTGCGTGAGTGCCGTCTCTGTTTTCGAACTGGGACGGGAGAAGGCTCGCCATTAGAATAGAGAAAATCGGCCAAACCTACGGGGTTCCCAAAATGTACTTTTGTCACGCACCAATCAGATAGATGTATAATCGAAGAAGATACTAAGAGATGGGGCGGAAAGCATTCTATGAGGGGGAAGTGTGCACGCACATGATTGCGGGATTTTTCGCGAAAGCTATTATGTGTTTTCTCCGTCCTCTGTTGGAACTTTGCAAGGCAGTATTTTCACTGCGATCCAGGATCAACTCTCTATTTCAACATGGTATGAATATTAGACTGCATTCAGCAGGTTTCTCCTGGTTCTCATTTAGCTGACAAATGTAGTCCCTCCGCGAGTTGGCACCAGGCACAGGACGAAATGGTACACTGAAGCCCGAACTTGAGTACAATTACCAATCTGAATTTTTTGAAGTTGCTTGTTTTGACCAGGATTTAGCATCATCGCTGTCCATGGTCTGAATCCCTTGGGATCTGCTAATCACGCTTTCAACACTTGGCGGAAACCGGAAGATGATAGCGGTAACCTCTGGTTGAAACACGATTTTCCGAAAGCTCAACCTAACGCGAGGATTTTCATCTATGAATACAACTCAAGTCCCGTATTTGGATCAGGACAAGATAGCTTCGTACGCGAGGCAAATCAATTCTTAGATGAGATTTATGGAGCAAGATGGGAACTTGTGAGTTGCACATTGACACATTTTCCTGGATGAATTCACTGAACGCAAATTTAGGGGGAAAACATCCCCTTAATTCTTGTCGGACACAGTCTGGGGGGAATTCTAATCAAGCAGGTAAGATCAGTGACATTCCCATATGTGATGTATTCTAACCAAGATAGTAGGCACTGGTGAATGCGTGGGCAAATCCAAAGTACAGGGGCATCAAAGAGGCAACGTAAGCTCAATTCTGTGCCCCCCTTCCACCACACGTTATCAACTAAACATGCCTGATAAGTCACTCGCTTGTGTTCTTTGGAACCCCTCATAGTGGGCCGTCAAAGAATCTCCAAGTCGGCCTCGGCATGGCATGTGCTAAGATTGCTCGATCTCTGCCATTCGGGGCTCCTTCAACCTTGATAGAAGTTCTAGAACAAGGAACACTCTTTTCAGACATTTTGAGTGAGACCTTTCGCCATCAGCTCGAAACGTATAGCATACTATCCTGCTACGAGGGGATAGGTGATGTATCTGCCCAGCATCCCAATCTTCTCTCACAGATGCTAATTTTCGTATTTTAGATTGTTCCATTCAATTCAGCTGTTTTGAACCTTCCAGGAAACCAGGAAACACAATTGCGCATAGATGCCGACCATAGCAATATGTGTCGTTTCAACTTGGATGTCCAATCTGATGTGGATAATTATAGAAAAGTGCAGCGAAATTTGCAAATGCTGTGTGCAGATGCGCTTTTAGGTTCACTGAAGCTCAAGCAAGGTCACGGTAAGCAAAGATCTGCTGGACAATGAGGGTTGGTGGGCTCTGATATACATTCAACCACCCTCCCATATGAGAATTTCTGTTACCTTCAGAACCATACCTAGTCTTCTAAATTATCTGAGCTTTTCTGATCATCTTTCAATTTCAGACGGCCAGTATATTGCCAATGGTGGTATCGACATATCTAGTATGCTTCTAAAACCGATACGCTATATACAAGACAGCCCCAGACCGTCTGTAAAGATGTGTATGACAATCAATTTTTCGAAGCCAAGAGCTCACGGACTAACATATCCACTGCCCGCAGATCTTGCTCAGCTTCCCGATTTGGCCTGGACAGTCTATCGCTCATGTCAGCGCACCTCTTTGCCAGCCTTTCTTCAAGTCGCGCAAGATGTTCTTCAGTTGCATGTCGAACTTCGTATATTCAATGAAAAAGTAAAGAGCGACACTTACTCGACAGATCGTCAACAAGAAATTGAAGATCAACTTTTTGATTGCTGTCAGGCTTTAGAAGGGCTGGTGACAATAATTGAAGTCCATGGAAGGGTTTCTCAGATAGGAAGGAGACATTTCATGCAACAAATGCCGGAGTCTTCCGGGCTTGAGAGTTGCAAGTCACATATTAGATGCACCACCTCAAAAATCAATGAGTTAAATCACCACTTGTTAAGGTATGTGACTGGCTAGCAAAGGATTTTCAACAATGAACGGCTTACTGACTCTGAGCAAAGTCGGTCCATGAACGACTTGGTTGAGAGATTGGACGGACTTATAGAGTTCATCAATGAGGGAGAAGGGGATGATCGCTCTTTGTCAAGCCGACTTTCTAGGTCCACGATCTCAAGCTTGAAGAAAGATGGTGCCGAATGGCACGATTTGGAAAGAGAGCTGGTCAACTCCGGAATCTCGCCTCAAATCCTCGGCGAGCAGCATCACTTCATTGCTCACTGGCTTGAAAATGCGTCCTTATCGGGAAGATTGACCCTTCCAGATGAAGTGCAAGACTTGCCTCTTCGCGCGGACAATGTCTCTATTTACACGTATAGTGCAGACTTGCAGCAAGTCAACGAGGGCTCTCCACACTGCATACCCCCAGCAGCATTTGTTCCTAGTGTGGGCCAGGTTCATGATAGCCCAAATACGAATGGCTCGACCAGAAAAAGCACAAAGCAAAAGAATTGGCGCTATTCCCTAGTGCACAAACTCCGATATGGCTCTGCGGATCCATTTATTGCTTTACATAAAGCCGTATCTCGAGATGACTATTCGGCAGTGGCTAAATTGGTACAAGAGACCACAGTATCAGATCAAATTCAGAGTAAAGGCTCTAGTCTCATCAGCTGTGCTGTTGAAAAAGGCGATTCAGAAATGCTCAGCATATTAGTAGAGCATACCTCCTCTGTTGACTGGTCCAAAATGCTTGGGGAACAACTACGCCTAACGCTTCAAACTGGGTCTGGACTAGACCTGCTTGACACCTTTATCAGAAATGGTGCATCTTTCGGATCCCTTGAGCTTGCAACAATTATGAGTTGGGCTTCGGAGTCCACCGCTTTTCAAATGACGCAACTGGGAAATAACTCTATCGAATATGAAGGGTGGGCTCAAACATTTCTCTATATTGCTGCGAAGCTGGGGTACATTGATCAATTTGAAACTTTCGTGAACCAATACGGTGGAATAAACTCTCTTGTGGAAGGCACAACTCCATTTCATATCGCTTGCAGCTCGGGAAATATCGATGTTGTTCAGAGTGCGTTTGAGATGGGTGGAAACTTTATGACATTGGATGCTCAGGGCGAAACACCATTGCATGCTGTGGTATGGGGCGAGGTTCATGACAATTGGAACATTCGTGCAGTTCTGAGATATCTCATCGGAAAAGGAGCGTCTCTCCTAACAACAACAACATCCGGAAAGTCACTGCTCCACCTAGCAGCGGAAGTGTCAAATCTCCATGCAATAGAGTCGCTTGTTGGCATTGAGATGCATTGCAATATTCTTGACAATTTTGGAAACACGCCATTACATGCTGCTTCCTACACCAAAGATCTGAAGGGCCCATTGGGACACGAACATCGTCTCGATCCTATGCCATTTTATCACCCGACACTTCGGCATCGAGTAACCCAGCTTAACTTGAGTGGCTTGGCGAAGATGTCGAGGGTTTCTCTGAAAGGTTATTGTACAGAGATTGATGGTCTCAAATTCTTTAATCGTCAACCCAAACCGGATGAACGGGGCAGCCATGAAGCAGTGCGATTGTTATTGCAATATGGAGCTGCAGTAAATGCGAAGAATAACGATGGTGTGACACCATTACACCTAGCGTCTAGAAGTAGGAATTTGCCTCGAATGGCGGCGCTTTTGAGCAAAGGAGCAGATCCTAATATCAAAGACAATGCAGGGTGGACCGCTATCCGATATGCCATCAGCGCTAATTCGGGTCCTGCGGTGAAGCTCTGTCTAGAACATGGTGCGGACACAAGCGAAAGTGTACCGGTTTCCTTGGGCCAAAACGTTGAGGAAGAATTGTCAATTCTGGAACACATCAAGTTCATGCGTGCTACTGAACTGTTGTACATTTTGCGGAAACACGAAAATCCCGACTGTCCGGATGAAACCATTGAAGGACTTGAGATTTTGAAACATTCAAGCGAATATAAGTGGTTACCTGGAAGAGATAGGGAAAGGGAGGAAGAGGAGAGAAGACATCGTCATGGCTAATGAGAAACGCAACGGATAGCAAATATTTTACGAGTGGTCAGTCAAATCCAGCGGGCAATATGGCAATGATAGACAGGTAGCCGCCTTGAGGCGGGCAGCCTGTTATCCAGAATGATGACCATACAATGTATTAGCTGAATAATATTTACTCTTCAGGTTTTGCAAATCTTTCATTTGAAAAGAGCAACCTTCCGCGATCGGATCAAGAACCAATTGACTGCACTACCTGTGCCGCCACATTCTTCTTGGTGTAATCTAGCACATGAAATCCTTCCACTGGGAAGATTGATGCTACGTCATCATGCATGGAAATGCCTGAGCATTAGAAATCTAGGTATGAAGTGTTCTTGATTATGTGATAGGCTGCTGGGTGATTTTGGTGTCGGGTATTTGAAGGAAGGTATGTCCAGAGCTCTTGTCAAGGTCATGGGTTCCGCAGAATCATGAGCGCTGGGGATTTCGGGGACTGAAATTCAGTGGAGGTTTTCAGGCTTGCAACTTCCCAACCAGCACATTGTCCATGCAGCGCAAATTGGTGCGCTGGACTGCGTCAGACTCCCGTTATCAAACTTCTGCAGATATCATATACTAAACAGGCCCTAAGTATCACACCAGTGATTCACCCGATTGGGTTTCTGCTCAAACGATTGGATGACGTGTTGCCTTTCTTTTTGACTTGACTGACTCTGTTGATATATACGGTTCTTATAGATTTTGTTGGTTGCTTTGCATAGGTCAAAGGGCTATAATCAGGAAACCTTCTTTGCTCGCGAAATATTCTAGTTTATTGTGTTTAGAAACGTAGCATCCCCATAAAAGCTGAGTTAATGATACGTATTAGTCAAATTCTTTAGTCGAAGTCGGCTATCAACCATTCATAAGACGAGTTCACGGCTCCTAACTCTGCTAATCGCCACCTATCATTAATAGTATCATTGCTCTAACACTTGCAAAACCCTAAACACTATTACCAACCTTCATATAACAAAGCCAGTGCTCACTGGAATGCGGGCAGGAGATCTATGCTCTGGGTCAAATCGAAAGCACCTTACGGAGATTCAGCATCAGATGGGACTTTCCCCTTTCACCATCTACTTCGATGATAAGTGATTCTGCCTGCCGCGCAAGAATTTTCATCATATTTTCTGTGTATTCAAAGCTTTCAGTTGACTCCAAACATGAAAGCACCATAATTTTCATTCTTTCATCCTTTGTCTTCTGCCTCAAGATATTGAGAACCTTGCTCTGTCATATGATGACAAATGAGAACTTGCCCTCTGTTATACACATACACCTTTTGCCGAGCGTAGATGTCGCTGGGACAGGCGAGTTCACAGAGCAATCTCTTAAGGTCCTTATCTAGTTGTTGTGCGGTCGCCCTGCTAAAGTACAGAAACAGAGAAAGATTGAAAACTGAAGAAAAGATGGCACCTGGATTCTACGTGGCTCCAGACGCGCCCGATGTGATTGCCGTATTCCTCAGGTACCAATTGTCTTCGGTTAATAACTAGGAAGACCGAGTGGTCTGAGTGGACCGAGTAGCCTGGTTCTGCCCCCTCAACCACGGGAGGCACAAGTAAGCGGGCAATCAGGGAGCCGATAAACGTCATTATAGAATAATGGGTCCATCACGAATTGTCCTACTTTACCTACCGCTTACCATGACCGTTTGCTCCACCAGGCTTCCTCCTACAATCATAACACTTCCTTGGATCCTATCGCCGCAATATGACCACGATCCGGATCGCCGATGATGCGCGTCAGAACGGCAGAAGTCGCTTGACTGATGAAGTAGCTCTCCCTAGAACAACATCCACAGTGCAACTAAACGCAGGCGAAGGCGATGATCACATCTGCAATATCCGCACCCAGCCCAGGGTGCCTTCTCGGCTCGTCCGCGGGTCCACAGTGGATGATCAACCAGATGAGGACCCTAGTCTGCGAATACCTAGCGACTTCAAAGGAAAGCAGGTATGCAAGCCTCCCGGTAAAAAAAGAGCCAGCGTTTATTAGCTGACACGCGATAGAAATTCAAGGGAAGGGTCCTTATGTGGCTGGCCTACCAGTCTATTGGCGTCATCTACGGTGATATTGGGACCAGTCCCCTTTATGTATTCTCATCGACGTTCAGCTCGGCACCATCACGAAAGGACCTCGTCGGGGTACTGTCGATAATCATCTGGAGCTTATTCATAATGGTGACAGTCAAGTACGTGTTTATTATCCTCCGTGCGGACAACGATGGTGAAGGAGGGACTTTCAGTACATACGCTCTTCTGAGCCGTTATGCAAGTTATCCTACAGCTTCCGGGTTCTTAAAGATGCGAAGATCACTGACTACTGTCTTAGATGAATATCACCCACCGCGATCCGAGGGAGGCATCAATGGTTCGGATGAAACGATACTCGTCAAGCGAGCTCGAACGAACTGGTCGAAGAGTGCGACATCATATCGAATCTAGCAAGGTTGCTAGAGAAGTCTTGAAAACCATAGGGGTGTTAGCCGTGACGATGGTCCTTTCCGACGGCCTTCTTACCCCAGCACAATCTGTCTTAGGCGCTGTGCAAGGGATTGAAGTCGTCCAGCCCAATATCTCGAAAGGTACAGTAATCGGTGTCACTGACGCGATTCTGGTCGTGTTATTCTCCATTCAGCCACTTGGGATCACGAAGATTTCCTATGCATTCTCTCCAATTATCATCATCTGGCTTGCTTTAAACGCAGGTTTTGGGATCTACAACCTTGTCAAGTATGATACAAGTGTTCTCAAAGCCTTTGATCCAGGTCTTGCTTTTGAGTTTCTAATACGCCACGGTGAAAATGGGTGGAGAATGCTTGGTGGAGTACTTCTCGCATTTACCGGAGTCGAGGCCCTCTTTGCGGACCTAGGAGCCTTCGACAGGCGAGCAATCCAGATCAGCTGGCTAGGCTACACTTTCCCATGCATTTTGCTGGCATATATAGGGCAAGCAGCGTATATTAGCGTCCACCCCGAGGCCTATTCGAACCCGTTCTACAACGCTGCGCCGCGCGGTACAATCTATCCCGCCCTAGTAATGGCCATTCTTGCCGCCATTGTTGCTTCTCAAGCCATAATAACCGCAACCTTCCAGGTGAGAGACGAATAACCATTGTACGATGTTTATGGACTGACTTTTCTGGCAGCTTCTCAAGCAGGTGATGAAGCTCTCGTACTTTCCCCAGTGTAAGGTTGTTCATACGTCTCGAATATTCTATGGGCAGCTTTTTATTCCCCTCGCGAACTGGCTGCTGATGATTGGAACTATTCTGGTGGCGTCAATCTATAATAATGTAAGTGGACAGCACACCCAGCATGTTGCTCCAACACGCTCACCTTTACGCTAGACTACATCGCTTGGGAATGCGTACGGTGTCTGTGTAATGTTTGTGACGTTTTTTGACACATGCATGGTCTCGTTAGCTGCAATGTTTGTCTGGCAAATCAACCCCTACCTCGTCTTTTTCCCGTGGCTCGTAATCGCGTGTTTCGATGGCACCTATCTTTCGTCGGCACTCACCAAAGTCCCTTCTGGTGCCTGGTTTACGATCACGCTCTCCTCCATACTTGCAGCAATCTTCCTTGTATGGAGATATGGCAAGGAACAGCAATGGTCGGCTGAAGCTGAGGATCGTTTTCCTACGTCACACTTTGTGGCAACCGATCCCGACGGTCAACTGCACCTGACTGATAAATACGGTGGAAATCCCATCAAAACGATTCGCGGTTTGGGGATATTTTTTGACAAGGCTGGCGAAACTACTCCAGTAGTGTTCAGCCAGTTCGTTTTTAAGCTCACATCAATACCAGAGGTAACCATATTCTTTCATCTACGGCCTCTTGAAATGCCCTCTGTGACCCTGGAGAACCGATATTCTGTTTCCCGTCTCGCCATTCCAAATTGCTATCGGCTAGTTGTCCGATATGGCTACAATGATGAAATCATTACAACCAATCTTGCAAGCATCCTCGTCGATCAAGTCCGGAAGTACCTCGTGTTGGAGGAAATGCCACAGCAAGACCGATTACCTTCGCCGCCCGTCGCAGCCATCACCACTGAGGGTCCTGGCTGTTCCCCCTTAGATAATAATGGCACAAACAGCCCTACAACTGAAAAAGAGGCGGAAAATGCAAGACAATCGAGCGATCGGCTAGCCAGACTGCAGAACGCGTATGAACACAAGGTTCTTTATATCATTGGGAAGGAACAGATGAAGATTAAGACTGATGCTTCATTCTTCATCAAGGTGTTCCTGTACCTCTTCTTGTGGATCCGAGATAACACAAGGAATAAAATGGCTAACCTCCGCGTGCCGACGGACAAGCTGATTGAGGTCGGATTCTTGAAGGAGATATGATTCTCCATATCGCGATCGGTTCAATGACCACAAAGTGTTTCTTATGTAGTAGCGATCACTCAATACAGAAGGTCTTGTATTTATGTTGAGATATTAGGTTGTAATTTATCGCATTTACTACTGTAGTATGCACTTTTAGGGTGGGCCATTTTTGTAATACAGTGACGGTGCATAAGTTTCTACCCGAATTCTGCCTGGCCTAACCATACAAATAAAATACCTAGAATTATGACCGGCATGCCTATATCAAGAGGCGGTAGCCAAGTGGTGAAACTTATGGACCGTTACTGTACGTTATGGTACTCGTATCAGTTGTCATATAATATTCTGGGTATCGTAGGGTATCATACCCTCAACCATGGATGTGTTCAACCTAACATATTACATCATGTGTCACATGAGATCACCAAAAATGAAGAGCTCCATGTGTGAAGCTACCTAATATCCCTGCTCTTCTAAGCGTATCAGCTTTCCATCTCTCCTATTTGATTCTTCATCTCCACTGCGGGAATAGAAGCGTCAGGTAGTAAAGATCCAAGTAAAGACAATGCAAGACCAGAGTTCTCAAAGTGCTCATATACATCAGCCCTTCCAACATGTTGAACTACCTGAACGTTCCTTGTCGACTCACCGTCATCATGTGAGAAGGGAGGATACCAGAGACACAAGTGATTTTGGGAGCCCTCACCTCCTCGATGGGCTGACCAGCATGTTAGCTGGGCGGGGGTGGTTAACACCTGAATGTGAAGGTCATTATGAATCGCGAACTAGCTTCTCGGATCAATATCTTCCGGGGCACACGGTTGCTTCGCAGGAAACTGAGATCAAATCACCCCAGCCCGACCAGACCCAAAGACTCCCAGCGTCATCCACCAAGATAGACGGAGAATCATCAACATTGTTTGCAGAGGAGTACGGGAAATTTATCAAAATTCTTCATTACGACGACTCCAACACCGTTCAATTATATAAAAAGAAAGCGTCTACAACCAAGCGAAGCTCATCTTCGGCAACATCTTCGGATACCTCCACGTCAATGGGAGCACGACGGCCCTCTACATCCAAGAGCATTAATGAGCTCTTTGCAGTAAAAGTGTTTCGCCACTCCCAGAGACATCCCGATCCAATGCCTACCTTTCCTCGAGATCGAAGTCGACCTATCTCACCATGCCATCCTAATATTGTTTTGATTATCGATATTGTCTATAATAAACAGGCTAATCTCTGTCTGGTCATGCCCTACTACACTGGCGGTAACTTACACTCCTTTCTAATACAAAATGGGAAACGAGGAGAGCATCTGTCCACCGAGGAGATAGATTGTTTGTATATTCAGATCCTTCGTGCGGTGTGCTTTCTACACAATAACGGGATTGCCCATGGAGATATGAGACCAGAGCATGTTTTCCTTACGGGCCAGGGGGCAGTGAAAGTGGGCGGCTTTGGGGAGGACGAAGAGGCAGTTCGAGCAATGGTTGGATTACCAGAGTGTGATGACCCTGTCTCGTCGTTTTCAGGTTCTATGTCTGGTTCAGCTCTGGGTCATGATTCTAAGCCGAAGCTGTGTATACGGAGGAGGCTCTCGGAGTTGAGTCTCCCTTATCTTCCCCCAGAAAGAGGCTTTGATCGTCGCGACCTTCGTCGTCAAAGCTACGTACATCACAACCCCATAAATCCCAGGCCGGGAGATATATGGGCATGCGGCATAATTTATATTCTGCTACGGACTGGCCGGCTGCTCTGGTACAGTGCCCAAAGCGCTGATCTCGACCAAAGCTTTACCGAGTACCTCCACTACCGTCTAGAGGAGGACGGATATGGCCCCATCCAGGCTCTGGAAAAAGTAAGTTCCATCAAGATCATTGAAATTACTGTGAAGTGACTCGAAGGTGCTTCGGAGATACGTGGGGCATCTTGGTAATACTGGACACGAAAAGCTGACACATATTCTCGGATCGGAACAGCGTTGTCGAAATGTGATCTATGCCATGTTACATCCTGATTCGCGATTGAGGATCACCGCATCGGAGGTCTTGAGGTCTGAGTGGGCCCTTACTGTTACGGTTTGCGAGGTTGGAGAGAGGGGACTGTGATAAAGAAGTGACGTTGTTGGCCTCTCAGTTGCATAAAAGTATCATCTTTTAGTGATGCAAGAGCGACAGCAATAATTCATGAAAGGTAACATTTTCTCTGAGTGGTCTGAATGGACAGAGTGATCCCAGAGAACTAGGCAGTCTAAGAAGACCAAGTATACTACTGGACATCACTGATTCATCACTGATTCACCACGTTATGGGTTTAAGCAGCTCACTGAGTCTGAGTACGGACTAAAGTATACTCAGTGAGCCTGAGTCTAGCGCCCTCATAAAAGCAGCAGCTAAGACAGGCCAAGCAGAGTAGTGCTTCCTATATTTGCACTGTTTGCATATATATTTGGATGACCATATGCGGGCGGGTTTAGCCGACGTCCACTATTGCCCTTGGGCCCTGCCAAGACTATCTAAGTATCTGGGTGGGGGCCAAAACAAAGACAGTTTTCTCCTTGTGGAGTATGGAATACGACTGGTTTTTTTGGAAGATCTTAAATTTCTGTTGATCACTCCCTATAACTTGATTGTGGGGTAGAATGTCAGTAATCTGCTTGAAAAGATGAATGGGGCACCCGTGAATGTGAATGGGTATGGAGCACTTGATTTAACTTCATGTAACATTGTTCGCCGCTAAAAACGTTGCTAGGCCATTTTAGTACCCTGTTAGCAAACTAGACAAATTGAAAGATGCGGGCTATTCTCAATGTTTCATTTTCCTTTTCCTTTCTTCCATCTTCAACCTCGGCCCTCCGCTTTTGTACCTGATCTTCATCCCCCGTCTATAAACATGCGCAGTGGGTTTGCCTGCCTACTCGGCTTGGCTGGCCTAACCTTGACCAATGCATTGAGTCTGGAGAAGAGAGACAGACCGGCGGTGCTCACGGTGCCACTGGTACGCGACACATCGCGTCAGCTTTCCAAGCGTTCGAAGACTGTCGATGTCGATTTTGACAACGAGAAACCATATGTAGGCCCAACACTTAAAATCAAAATGACTTGCAGGCTAACCTCGCTTTCCAGTACTACATAACCTATGTCGCAAATATGACTTTCGGCACCCCGCCCCAGAGTTTATTTGCTTACATTGACACCTGGGGTAATGGCTGTTGGGTCAGGGGCGTTAATAACACTGGTTGCGAGGATTTATACTCGGAACTGCCCGATTGTGGTGGATATGGAAGCTACAACCTGACTGCCTCAAGCACTGGCAAAAAGCTCGACGGGAGATTCGCATATGATGATAATGTTTCCGGTTTAATGATAGGTGGAGACTTCGTGACCGACGTTCTGAAGATTGGTGGTATCACAGTGGACGCTATGAAGATGGGGTTGGCTGCAGATGGTGAATTTGCTAGCAGTACGTCCAGGCTATCTTAACACACCCAATATAATCACTAACATGGACTTATTTAGATACTTTGGGTCTTGGGTACGGAAATGCATCTTCCACCTCCCTGCCTCAGGCGTTAGCCGACGCCGGTACCATTAATTCCCCCGCTTTCAGTCTTTGGGGCCAGACAGCCCTGTTCGGCGGCGTTAACAAGGCCAAGTACAATAGCCCTCTCCACACATTCCCCATAGTCAACGGATCAGATCTTGCCAAAGCTTTCCGTATCAATATAGATGGCATCTCAATCAACAAAACATCCGCAGCATCGAAGGAGTTCCCGCTGGACGCAGTTTTCGACACTTCGTTTGGTCTGACCTACGTGCCCAAGTCTGTGGCTCAGGCCCTGAATGCCCAAATCGGCAAAACCTCCGTTCCGGATAAGTGGGGACAAGTCAACTTCTCTTGCAGTGCAATGGGGGAGAACTCGACAATAGAGTTCAAATTTGGGGAATTGGAATTCCAATTCTACCTCAGCGATTTCGTGACCCAAGAAAGTCTCACCGGGGCGAATTATGGGTGGGATCCTGAAACGGAGACGTGCTATTTCGCGATCCTCGAGAATATCAATTTCCAATATGAGGGAAGCATCGTTTTGGGCTCGAACTTCATGAGCAAGGTTTATGCAGTCTTTGATCTTGAAAACGACGAGATCTCATTGGCGAACCTTAACAGGTATGACAGTCCGGACGATATTGTCGAGATCAAATCGGGCAAGAATGCTGTTCCTGAAGCGAAGAAGGACTCTGAGGACGAGAAAGACTCCGAGGCGAAGAAGGAATCGGCTGGTACACACATCGGAAAAGGTCTGGGGATGAGCACTTTGGTGGTTGGTGCTGCTGTGTTGAACCTGGTTTTCTAACTTCAGCCTTCTGACTAATATCTTTACTTCTCGCGATTAACACGTTAACCGTGGGACCTGCATCGAGTATACTTCAAAATTTATGTATCAATAGTGAACACCAGAGACTGCTAGAGAGACACCCGTCGGAAATTCGTATCTAAAAGCTAGCAGTGTATCAGAGACATCAGGCACCGGCATTATATAGTACTTGATCAGATCCTCTCAGTCACGATCGATCAACCCCGCGAAAGTCTTCAAAATTCGAGGGTGTGTTATCATAGGAACGTGAACCTGGGGGAACACGCGCGCGTGGAGGTGCATCATAATAGAGTATCAAGGCAGAAACCAGGCAGAATTTGAGATTTCTTTTGATCAAAATACACATTCTTTTACTATGTGAAGCAGAGCTAACAGGGTGGGCAAAATTTATAGTGGATTGGTAATTTACATAGAGCAGAATAGTTGGCCGTTTATATGGCCTCTACACTTAACGCTTGAATGACCTGAATACTAAATTAGCTTGAAGATGATCTTATGGACGCTATAGATAATTATAATTCGACTATCATATGCCTTTAATGTCTTTGTATAAGTATTTTCAATATCCTTGGAAACGTCTATTGAGCCTGTCCTTTAAAGTATCTTTTGAGGTGTCTTTTAATGCAGCAATAATAGATGGTTATAAATATTGCACAATTAGCTAGCCTCAGCAACAAGGAAATCACTATGCACTTTGGTATTTTCTGTTCTTGTAGATATAAAATTCGGCAGGTGGTGAGAAATTTGCTCCTTCTTCATATTTGTTTTCGCTAATTTTCTTTATCAGCCAGCAGCTGTCGCATGAGCACAAAGCTTCTACCACTCCCAATTTTGATACCATTCAGGTAATCCCGTCACTCAAGTCCATCCTTCTTTTTGTTATCAATAAATCTTCATTCATCCCCTCCACACTCTCCTTTCGCGAATCTCATCGCCAAAATGGCTTCCATTGGCTTTGCCGAGCCCAGCCTTCTCGACCTTGTCCCAACTCTTGTCGGCGAGTCCAATTTCTCTACGTGGACGACTTCACTCAAGTGGACCCTCGACTCGCGTGACCTTCGATACTACGAACTTCTCACCGGCGTGTGGACCGAACCCAGTCCAGTTGACCCCACACAACCTACTCCCAGCGAAGTCGAGGCTCGTACCCAGTGGGATACCGCCAGTCGCTACCTTCTTCCTCTACTCAACGCCACCGTCCACCACACGGTCAAGTTCTACATCCTCAATGCGAATAATGCACGTACTGCATATGCCAGCCTACAACGCGCCTTCGCAGCCCGGTCCTATGAAGCTGGCTTCACAAATTTTATCAAGTTTATCAACACCACATACACCTCAAACAAGCCTCAGGCTTTTGTCAACGAGTGGCGTATTGCCCTCGGCGAGCTCCAAGAATGTAGCTCGACAAAACTCACACCTCTTCTCATCTTTTACCATTTCCTAAATGCCGTCAGTGCCAACCCGGCCGCACACTCGTGGCTCGACGGTTTCCTCAATTCAAAAGTCTCCACTGATACAACTATCGAATCAACCTTCGCGGACTTTGTCGTTTCCGAGGATCGTCGCCTCAACGCTCTCAATCAAGCTCACACATTCAGCATGGTAAAATTTCAGAACCATCTGCCTTTTTTTTGTCAGTTTCACAAGCGTCAAGCCGGTCATTCCTCTGAGCACTGCTTCAGGAACCCGGCTAACCACTCCCAAGGCCCTTTGGATAAACCGGCTGCGCCTCCCGCTCAACGTACAGTCACTGAGGAGCCGGCTCCCAAATAGAACAACATCTTCACCGACTAGAGGCTTCATTTGTTGGGGGTTTCTCGGAATCCTTTCTCATGGGGAGGTGTCCGGATTGGATGATCCGTTCAGAAGTTAGCTTTACCAAGAATACACTGTCTTCGCATGTACCATGCGCTTTGATTTCTTTCTTGTCATGGGCGTCTCATGATATGAAGATAAAACCTCAGAAATTACTTTGATATGACAAAATATCGATAGTGCCCGATATATTACCCCCAGCGCACAGTATTATTTTACCCATAGTGAATTTTAGCCCACAGACGAATCTTCATAACTCGGCTTTTTATTACTTTCTCCTGGCTCAACCCCTAATTTATTACCCACACTTCTCATCCTTATGTTCTCTCACCATTCATAGATTCTCACTCTATAGTCTCCTCCAGTGATATACCAAGCACATACGACCATAGGTGTCAATTCATTTAGAACAAATGTCTGTCTGGAGTAAAAAATATATATATTTGATTACCGGGGCCCTTCTTTTACTCCGCCATGATTTGCTTCAATTCGCTTTCTTCTTGAAAATATGTTACCGAAAAAGAATTCTAGAAAGCACCCGAGGAGCGTATCGTACGTGCCTAGAATAGGAGACTGACTGTAAGCTTGTTCCGAGGGGGCATATGTAGCCCCCAAATGGCGGGAATCGGTAATAGAGCAATGATAGAGTCTTGAATTATATTCAAGGAAATGGAGATGATCTTCTAGATTGATAGCAACCGACATCCACATTCAGGGACTAGATGCCATTGTTGGGAGATAGTTGACACTAAGTCAACAAGATGCGTAGGAACGCAATAAAATATGAGAACATGAGACCGCCGGTTGTGCGCTGGTACCTAGGTAGGTAATTTGCATAGCTTTGTCATGCCTTCCCCATTGATAGATAGGTACTTTCTTTTTTCTCGAGATTATGGACTACCCTTCTTTTTCTAAAAAGAACCAGCTTCTTCCTTTCTCAATCCATCAATCCACGGCCCCTATTTCTTCATTTATTTTACCCCAATTATCTCGTATCTTTGCCTCTAGACGAGCATTAAACGCATTAAACAACGCCCATTCTTTTCTAGCGTTCTACCTTGCATCAGCATCTACTCTTCGTCTTTGTCTAGCTCCTCTTGATGTTAGGCCTTCGTGATAAGGCCATCGAGGCTTTCACGCACCGCCTACCAGTATTTTATAACAATGCAGGCCCCTAATTGACCCTTTGATATCGCTCCTTGCAGAATGCATTTATCTCGACATCGGTAACACTGACCTTCCTCGTTGGAGAGACAAAGAAGACGAACAACAGGCAGAACTTCGAAACAAGATTGTTGGAAATCTAATGAACGAGCTGCGGCAAGCACATAACGAGGAAGTTCAGTTTGACGATGATCACGAGAACGATATCTTTACCATTGTCCTGTACTGGTATCTCAAGGACAACTTAGCCAAATTCCTCCGAGAAAGGCAAAGGCTGGGACACAATATACGGTTCACGGCTCTTTTCTAGGGGGTTGAGAGACGCTCTCCCGGTCAATCGCTCATACCACCGAGCGCGCTTTAGAATATTGCTCGCCACTTGCCCCAGTGTATATTAAACGCGAATCATTTTTCGCGCCCAACTCATTCTACGGAGAAAGAGACGTGAGTAAGGAACCTTATCCAAAAATAATACTTAAACATGCTAATTCAAGTCGTATTCTAACCTCAGACAGGACTATTCAGCCAGCTTTATGACTACTCGGATGAGGAAGGCCAGCCAGCCAACCTCGATGATGACTCTAGTGATGAAATCTGCCGAGGAAGATAAACGCAAGACAGAGGCGCGCCTGCAAGAGGAGCCGACGAAGATCTATCTCCCTTACGTCGAGAAGCCAATGAATTACGGCCAGTCCTACGATTCCCCGGATGTTGAAGGCCAGCCCGCCAACCTCGACGATAACTCTGGTGATAGACCTTCCAGGGAAGATAAAGGCAAGGCGGAGATGCCCTCGCAAGAGGAGCTGTTGACAAGGTGATTAGGTTGTGCTCAAAAACAAATAGAATACAGCCAGCGCGCTAGGTCAGATTTCAATTTGTCAGATGGATCCTTATTGCCAGATGAACCTCTCCAAAGCCTCGCAAATATACCGACGAAACATCCTCTTACCCATGTGCTTGAGAGAATAAATGATGAATTTCATGAACGGTATGGAAATATTATAAGCCACATTGGAATGCTCTCGGTGCAAGAAACTTTACAGGATGCTTTTACCCCGGAATCAAGGTCGCTATTTTCGGTCCTAGAGTCAGGCTCCTTTGGGCTGGATGAGTAAGTGGAGCGTTCTAGTATGGTTTATGAGGTCGAGCTTAATATCTCTTAGATTTCAGAAAGTAGGAGGGCACCCAGAAGAGGACGATTGCCCGGGAGTCTATCTTCACATCATGTGGACTCGGCAAGGGAAATTCTGGCTCTACGTTGGCCAGTCGATTAGTATGCGAGCGCGAACTATGAAGCACTGTGATCAACAACTTAATTAAGATAGAATTGCGAGTTTTTATTTAAGAAAAAACACTAACCCTAAGTGATTCCTTGAATAAGGCATGATCCTCGGTGGTACCTAGAATGATATTAGACTCGATGCGGTTTATTTAACACCTTCGTCACTCGTTCCTACATATAAACTATATTATGTTATATCGTAGGAATTCATTTCAATTCGGACTGATTTTAGTCAATAGAAACTGGAAGAACCTATCGATCTATTCTATCGCCGCCCATTGACCTTCTTTCTGATTCTCTTATAGATAAATGAGAGATTAATGTATTTATAGGGAAACCTTACTATAGCTAACAATATTGCTTCAATAAAATTCAATATAATTATGAGTACTCTTAACTCGGATATCTGATGTCATAAAGGGCGGCTGGCCTAATGGTAAGGCGTCTGATTTCGGCTGAGCTACGCTCCAACCTTTCTCAGAAGACTGCAGGTTCGATCCCTGCGTCGCTCATTAATTTTTTTTAATTTAGAATACATGCATTCCTTCTTATATACAATGTTACATACAATAATGAAGGTTTTCAGGGGCACCCATCCGTGGACGACCCTCCGTTAATTATGTAACATAGAGGGGTAACGTATAATTTCAGATGCGAGGTGGCCACCTATATAGTATATGCGATAAATTATAACTTAAATATGTCGACAATGGTTACTATATAGGCTGATGCTAGTCTCTAAGGAGGAAGAATAACTTGAGTATTGAGACAGGCTCATGGCAACATTGGACATCGTAGCAATATAGATAGTTTTTAGATGAAATTTTTATAAGCCAATGAGACATTGAGAGTTAAGGACCCGTAAAGCTAGGTTAAATCAAGGAGAACTAGATGATTAATTACTAGAAGATAGTCTACTACCTAATATATAGGTTAGTACGGAGTACTATAGGTAGATTTACTTCTGTGATTCAGAAGAGATCGTATGGTTTATATTAGACTGGGCGTATCTGCATAATATATACCGTGGCTATACGGCCGCCTAAATACGCCTATATAGTAAGTAGCTTAGCGGTCCGTGCGGTCTAGTACGGGTGCCATATAGGCCAGGAACGCAGCCCGTGTGCCCCGTCATGAGGCTCTCGGATCTCACTTCATTGGTTATACATATTGTCAGAATTAGGAGGAATTCTGTCAAATTTAGATTAAAACTAGTACTTCCAAAATTTTATTAGTCCTATATAACTTGTAGGTACCATCGTTAACCCAGCGAAGTCCCATATGACTCTCTCTCTCTGTCTCTCTGTCTCTCTTTTGGTTTCGTCCTGAGGTTTGATCTGTAGATTTAACGTATTCGGTAAGCGAGCTGGCCATGTAAGCCAGCTGGCCACCTCACCCAAAATTGTCCGTTAATTAGCACTTCATTAATTCAACCACCCACCATGCCACCAATTCGCTCTCAAAGCTCTCGAAATTCAATAGAGCAAGAGGGTAGGATATTATTAGCTATTCAGGCTTTTCAAAAGCAAGAAATCTCATCAATTCGTGAAGTGGCTCGCCTATTTAACGTACCCCGTTCCACCCTTACTACGCGCCTCAATGGTGTCAGAAATCGCGCGAATTCTCGCGTAAATTCGCAGAAATTGACACAAACCGAGGAGGAAACTCTTCAAAAATGGATTCTTTCTATGGACTCTCGTGGATCTGCCCCCCGGCCTTCTACTGTACGAGAAATGGCGAATCTTTTACTTCAACAACGCGGAACCACCCCGGTTATTTCGGTCGGCGAAAAATGGGTTTATAACTTTGTGAAACGACACCCTCTCCTCTCCTCCCGATTCTCGAGACGCTATAATTACGAACGTGCGAAGTGCGAAGACCCGAAGATCATTCAAGAGTGGTTTACACTTGTTCAAAATACCATCCTTTAATTTGGAATCGACCCCGATGACGTTTATAACTTTGATGAGACTGGTTTCGCAATAGGGCTAATCGCTACTGCGAAGGTGATAACAAGGAGCGAATTCTACGGTCGACGCTCGCTTTTACAACCTGGAAATCGCGAATGGGTGACTGCTATTGAGTGTACAAATTCGTCGGGTTGGGCCCTCCCTCCGTGTATCATTTTTAAAGGCAAAGTCTTTATTGAATCATGGTTTGATGGCCTTCCGGATGACTGGCGATTTGAAGTTAGTCCGAACGGTTGGACCTCTGATGAAATTGGACTTCATTGGCTTGAAAAGCTCTTTATTCCTAGCACTTCTTCGCGTACGAAGGGGAGGTATCGTCTCCTAATACTCGACGGACATGGAAGCCATTTGACCCCTAAATTCGATGAAATTTGCGAGCAAAATAAGGTTATACTAATTTGTATGCCTCCGCACTCCTCTTATCTTTTACAACCCCTAGATATCGGTTGTTTTGCTGTGTTAAAGCGATCATATGGTCGGCTGGTTGAAATGAAAATGCGGAACGGGATCAACCATATCGATAAACTTGACTTCCTCGATGCATACCCCCTCGCACGAATTGAAGCTTTTAAATCGGAGACTATTAAAAATAGCTTCGGAGCAGCTGGTTTAGTACCTTTTGCACCTGATCGAGTGATCTCGAAGCTGAATATTTATCTTCGAACCCCAACCCCCCTCCAAGCCGGGGTAGCGAATCAAGCCGGAATTTCACACTAAAAACACCAGCTACAGAGAAAGAACTACGTCGACAGGCTTCCTCAATCAAAGCTTTACTTCGTACAAGATCTCGAAGTCCTCCAAGCCCGTCAGATCGTGCATTAGACCAACTTGTGAAAGGCTTCCGTCTCACAATGCAAGGTGCTATACTACTCGCTAAAGAAAATAAGGAATTACGCGCTGAAAACGAGAAGAAGAAGCAAAAGCGGACCCGATCTTCAAGGCATATAGATCACGAAGGAGATCTTTCAGTTCAGGAGGTTCGTGAGCTACGTTCAGAGCCATTTGAGGCCCAAGTAGCGCGTATCAATACCTATCGTGAGCGGGTTTCGGAGGGTTTACAGCCAGCTACACGGGCCGGGCGAGCGTGTGGAATATGCAGATTACCGGGACATAGAAGAGAAACCTGTCCAGATAGATAAATCAATTTAATTGAATTAATTTAATGGTGTTTTGGTTGAGATAAATCAAGTTGAATTTAATGGGCTGGGTGAGGTGGCCAGCTGGCTTACATGGCCAGCTCGCTTACCGAATAGTTAACTAGTTAACTAACGTATTTCACAAGCGGCCCGGCCACACAAGCGGCCCGGCCACCTAACGCGAAACACGTCAATTAATTAGACCTTCCTTCTTCAACTACCCACCATGCCACCAATTCGCTCTCAACGCTCTAGAAATTTAATAGAGCAAGAGGGTAGGGTCTTATTAGCTATCCAGGCTTTTAAAAATCAAGAAATCAGCAGTCTTCGCGAGGTGGCGCGCCGTTTTAACGTACCTCGCACAACTCTCCAAGATCGACTACGCGGCCACCAAAACCAAGGAGAAGTACGTGCTAATAACCATAAATTGACAAAGATTGAAGAGGAATCTCTTCAAAAATGGATAATCTCTATGGACTCTCGTGGATCTGCCCCCCGTCCTTCTACTATTCGAGAAATGGCGAATCTTCTCCTTGAACAACGTGGAACTACCCCGATTATTTCGGTCGGCGAAAACTGGGTTACAAATTTTGTGAAACGACACCCTATCCTCTCCTCCCGATTCTCGAGACGCTATAATTACGAACGTGCGAAATGCGAAGACCTAAAAATCATTCAAGAGTGGTTTGATCTTGTTCAAAAGACGATCATTCAATTTGGAATCGACCCCGATGACGTTTATAACTTTGATGAGACCGGTTTCGCAATGGGGTTAATCGCTACGGCGAAGGTGATAACGAGAAGTGAATTCTACGGTCGGCGCTCGCTTTTACAGCCTGGAAATCGTGAATGGGTGACTGCTATTGAGTGTACAAATGCTTCGGGGTGGGCCCTCCCTCCGTGTGTGATTTTTAAAGGCAAAGTCTTCCTCGAATCTTGGTTCGACGACCTTCCGGATAACTGGCGATTTGAAGTTAGTCCAAACGGTTGGACCTCTGATGAAATTGGACTTCGCTGGCTTCAAAAGCTCTTTATTCCGATGACTTCTTCGTGTACGAAGGGGGGTATCGACTTTTGATACTTGACGGACATGGAAGCCATTTGACCCCTAAATTCGACGAGATTTGTGAGCAAAATAAGGTGGTGCCGATCTGTATGCCACCTCACTCGTCTCACCTTTTACAGCCTCTCGATATTGGTTGTTTTGCGGTGTTAAAACGATCATATGGTCGGCTGGTTGAGACAAAAATGAGAAATGGAATCAACCATATCGATAAACTTGACTTCCTCGAAGCATACCCCCTCGCACGAATTGAAGCTTTTAAATCGGAGACTATCAAGAATAGCTTTAAAGCAGCTGGTTTAGTACCTTTTGTACCTGATCAAGTGATATCAAAGCTCAATATTCGACTTCGAACCCCCAACCCCCCTCCAAGTAGGGGGAGCGAATCAAGTCGAAATTTTACACCAAAAACCCCAGCTACAGAGAAAGAGCTACGTCGACAGGCTTCGTCAATCAAAGCTTTACTTCGTACAAGGTCTCGAAGTCCACCTAGCCCATCAGATCGTGCATTAAACCAACTTGTGAAAGGCTTCCAGCTCACAATACATAGCGCTATTTTACTAGCGAAAGAAAACAAGGAATTACGCGCCGCCAACGAGAAGCAGAAGCAAAAGCGGGCTAGATCTCGAAGGCATATACCCTCTGAAGAAGGTCTCTCAGTTGAAGAAGCCTCTGCATTAGTTATGCAGCAACAGGAAGCAGGTGAAGCACCTCCCCCGGGTCCTAGTATTCCTAGAGAACCGGCTATTCAGCAACGTACGCGGCCCCCCGGGGGTGTGGAATATGCAGATTGCCAGGTCATAGACGAGAAACATGTCCAGATAGACCAATCTCTAGTTGAATTAATATAATGGCGTTTTGGTTGAAATAAATGCATTTAAAATTAACGGGTTGGGCTGGGTGGCCGGGCCGCTTGTGTGGCCGGGCCGCTTGTGAAATACGTTAGTTAGTTAGTTAGTTAGTTAACGTATTTCACTACCGAGTGGTCCACACCACCGAGTGGTCCACCCCACCCAAAACGCGTCCCTAAATTTGCACTTAATCAATTCAACCACCCACCATGCCACCAATTCGCTCTCAAAGCTCTAGAAATTCAATAGAGCAAGAGGGTAGAATCTTATTAGCTATCCAGGCTATTAAGGATCAACAAATCAGCTCTATCTGTGAAGTAGCGCGCCGTTTTGAAGTCCCAAAGTCAACTCTCCTCCGTCGTCTAAAGAATACCCCTTGCCGCGCGATTTCTCGTGCCAATTCACACAAATTGACAGAAACTGAAGAGGAATCTCTTCGAAAATGGATTCTCTCTATGGATTCTCGGGGATCAGCCCCTCGGCCTTCTATGGTTCGAGAAATGGCGAATCTGCTTCTCGAAAAGCGCGGAACTACCCCAATCCTTTCAGTTGGCGAAAATTGGGTTACAAAATTCGTGAAACGACACCCTGACCTCTCCTCCCGATTCTCGAGACGCTATAATTTCGAACGTGCGAAGTGCGAAGACCCAAAAATCATTCGAGAGTGGTTCGATCTCGTTCAAAAAACAATCCTTCAATTTGGAATCGACCCCGATGACGTTTATAACTTCGATGAGACCGGTTTTGCAATGGGGTTAATCGCTACGGCGAAGGTGATAACGAGAAGTGAATTCTACGGTCGGCGCTCGCTTTTACAGCCTGGAAATCGTGAATGGGTGACTACTATTGAATGTGCAAATTCATCGGGTTGGGCCCTCCCTCCGTGTATAATTTTCAAAGGCAAAGTCTACTTGGAATCATGGTTCGAAGGCCTACCAAACGACTGGCGAATTGAAGTTAGTCCTAATGGTTGGACTTCAGATGAAATTGGACTTCGCTGGCTTGAAAAGCTCTTTATTCCTAGCACTTCTCTTCGTACGAAGGGGAGGTATAGGCTGCTAGTTCTTGACGGACACGGAAGCCATTTGACCCCGAAATTCGATGAAATCTGCGAGCAAAATAAGATAATACCTATCTGTATGCCTCCGCACTCCTCTCATCTTTTACAACCTCTCGATATCGGCTGTTTTGCTGTGTTAAAACGATCATACGGTCGGCTGGTGGAGACAAAGATGAGACGACAAGTTAATCATATTGATAAACTTGATTTCCTCGAATTATACCCCCTTATACGGATTGAAGCTTTCAAATCGGAGACTATTAAGAATAGCTTCGGAGCAGCTGGTTTAGTCCCTTTTTCACCAGAGAGAGTGATCTCGAAGCTAAATATTCAGCTTCGAACCCCTACCCCCCTCCGAGTAGGGGTAGTGATTCAAGCCGAAATTTCACACCAAAAACACCCGCTACAGAGAAAGAACTACGTCGACAGGCTTCATCAATTAAAGCTTTACTTCGTACGAGGTCTCGAAGCCCGCCTAGCCCGTCAGATCGTGCATTAAACCAGCTTATAAAAGGCTTCCGTCTTACAATGCAAGGCGCTATCTTATTAGCGAAGGAAAACAAGGAATTACGCGCTGAAAACGAGAAGCAGAAGCAAAAACGGACGAGGTCCCGAAGGCATATTGCTTCTGAAGAGGGCCTTTCAATTGAAGAAGCTTCTGTTTTAATTTTGCAGCAACAGGAAGCAAGTGAAGCACCTCCCCCGGCCCTGGCACCTCTGGAGAATCGGCTATTCAGCCACGTACGCGGCCCCCCCGGGGGTGTGGAATATGTAGACTGCCAGGGCATAGGAGAGAAACATGTCCAGATAGACCGATTAATTAGTTGAGTTAATTTAATGGCGTTTGTGTTGAGATAAATGCCTTTAAAATTGATCGGGTGATTTGGGTGGACCACTCGGTGGTGTGGACCACTCGGTAGTGAAATACGTTAGTTAGTTGGTTAGTTATGTAATATTTTCGGGAGGCTGTAGTATATTTTTAAGAATTTTATTATATTCCTAAGAATACGATTTACTCTATAGAATACCGCATTTGGATGAAAATTGTACTTATAAAGATGCTTGTAAATACTTGAGAATACCGTATTCATCTGAATACTACTACATGGTATATACTACATCCATCCATGAGATATATTATCACAGCTACTATCCACAGGTTTTATGTAACGCTGTATTTGCTATATAGGTATGTACCCGTAGATACAATCCTAAATTACATAATCTAGGGCGGCTGGCCTAATGGTAAGGCGTCTGATTTCGGCCGAGCTATGCTCAACAGTTTCTCAGAAGATTGCAGGTTCGATCCCTGCGTCGCTCATTCAAATTTTTTATTTCGAATAGAAAGAACTTCACTCCATAAAGAGTTCCTGTCGGCACTGTTGATATTCATTGGTTTGGCCAGACAAGCGGCCGTCGTCGCAAGAAAGGGACTCGCTCTAATAATAGATCTGTCAAAGTTCACTATATGCCTTGCAGCCTCGCGTCTCTTTTATGATGCGCAGCTACACAATCAGGCCATCCAGTTGCAGAGAGCCTGCATTCACTTTTTCGTCTTGATGGCCACGCATCCCCGACGTCACCGGTAGGTCCTTGACGGTTGCTCCTGCCTGGGAGCAGATCCAAACACTGTGCAGTAGAGTAGCCCTGTGATCTATCGACTCGCAAGATATTCACACCTCTAATGGCAGCCATGTCTCAACATTCCTACGAACCCAACAGAAGTTCTTGAGACTCTGCTGAAGTATGGTGCTGATATCCACGGTACTGAGCTTGACCGGCCTATTTATCGAGCGAGGCATATCCCGATTTTTGTCGCCGTTGACTCAATGAAAACAGAGGAAAACAAATGGATAGAGTGGTGCTCGAAGCCCGGGGCATACATCAACCAAAATTATTTCCTATTTGACCAACGTTATTACAACGGAGGAAGCAGGTTGTCCATGAGCAAAGGATACTTGACCGCAACTCCTGCACTAGCGTATGTGCAGTCAAAAAGCTCTTCGCATGCTTGACGAGCGGCCTAACATTGCTAAGGTCAGTAGTGGTAACAGTTAGAATTTAAAGGCGGTCTTCCTGAAATTGGTTCTGGGAAAAGCGAGCACATGAGATTACAGGTAGCAGGTCAATCGCGCTACAATGAAACGTCAAATTTTATAACTTTATTAACTGCATTTTATCACTAGAAATTAAGAGCTACAGGAGCATTCGTTTGAGTTGGTGATTTGGCCCAGCTCTGGTAGATACTTCTAGACAATCTTGAGCTTGATGAAAATGGTCTATTAGATACCTGTAGCCCCTCGCTCCGGTAGCTCTATAGACTCGTCTCGCACGCTATAATGTACAGTTTTCATAATTTGTAACCCTTGAATACCCTCAGATGATTCGATGATCGGATCTTCATCTCGCTCCCAGCCCTTTACTCCTCGCTCTGTTCTCACACTACGGGGGAGCCTGTGAGACGGTGTATCCTTCGACGTAGTAGTTATCGACCGAGACTCGGACTTCGACGGCCTCCGATACGTATACGTTATCCCAATCTCGTCCTCGTAGACTGCAACGAAGGACTTGAGAAAGGCCGTCAAGAGGCAGCAGGCACTTAGCCCCATGTATATCTCCGTTGTAACCGTGGCAAAGGACCCGAGGAGAGTTGGATCCTCCGAGGAGAGCTGGACTAGGATGAAGTGTAGACGAACTGCCGCCATGGGAATGAGCCTATACAGGTATGATGTTAACAAAAGCGTTCCTAAATCAATCGTACGGTGAATGGACCTACAATATCCGACTCTCGAGAGCGCAAAGCACGATGATCTTCTTCTTTGTCGAGATTCTGACTTCATGGATTGCAAGTGCCGCGTATATAAGAAGTACAATCTCGGTAGAAATGTCGAGGGCCGTAATGGCTTCCCAGCGGGGACGCTGTAGCCTAGTCAGTGTTTATACTCTCATTTGCGGTAGGGGTAAGAGTCATACCAATCCGCTACACTCAGTGGTGCTGATTTCGGACCAGGGATTAGAAGAACACCGAATTCCCAGCAGAAACACGGATAGTATTGTCCACGCGATCATTACTAGAAGGACGACGTAGGATACTTGACGTTGTATCCTGGAGAATAGGCCATTATAAAAAATGCAGGCTGTAATCTTTGAAAGACCGAGCACAATAATGGAGAGAATATCGGCAGAATATACTATCTTCGTAATGTTAAATACTCTAACATATTTAAATTCCTTGACAACTTACCTTCAACATTTGCTCTTTGCTTGTGGCCTCGAGGCCATCGATGGGAGTTCCCCACCCGTAGTGGACCTGACAAAACACAATTATAATCTGGAAAATTGCTGCAAGCTATTGATTTGTTAGTCCAGAGGCTGAAGCATTATCAGTTCACAATAGGGTTAGATAGTACTATACCACGAGAGCCCCAAATGTGTAATCATCTCGCTGCAGACTATCCCTATGTTGCGAAGAGTAGATGCGCGCTGCGAGAGAAAACAAAACCAGACACAAGGTGACCGCGGTGATGACAACAACCAGTCCACTATGGTTATGGTCATTATCCGTCGTAAGAGGAGGGCTCACATCCGTAGCCCATGTCGAAGCCGACATGACAAGCTAGGAGCCGTGCAAACACCGGGAAAAAAATTGAGACCAGAAATTTTCACATTTAAAACATGAGAGGCAGGGTTAGAAGCGTTTTCAATTATTCGTCACATGGGCAGTTCTCGTGGCCGAATGGTCAAAAAGACTCCTACGGGCGACCAATCCTTCGCTAGGAAACGCCAGATTTAATAAGGCAACGCGACGCTAAGATGGCTTCTAGTGTGCTATAGTAGCCAGAATATGACCGGGGTGTTTATATGAAAAAGAAAAGCTAGGTGTGATAGGAACCAACCGGGTTGCAGGGTTTGCAATCTTGCCAAGCCATTATCAATAGGGGAAGGGAAAAGGAGAAATGCTGTAAATTATTATTTAATTTCATACCAAATGACTTCCCCATTCCTTAAAATCGGGCTTCAAGAAGAGTTCGACCTTCGAACTATATACATAGACGATTCAGAGTCGAAAAGTAAAAAATGATGCACAGATGGGAAAAAGGCTTATCTATCCGCTCCCGTTCCAGTCAATTCAATTAGTACCAATCAAGGACCATACACTGGGTAGCCCCATAATAATATCTTGGCATTTGGTACTTTGGTCTTCTAAACGAACGTTACATCGTTTGGCTATCTATTTCCCGCTTAGTAAAGGCGAGTAATTCCTCTATGCAGGCCCTAGTCTAGTGCAACACAAAGGCTTTCTTCAAAACGCCACTCTAGGCCCTAAGAAGATTTTCCTGTTCTAAAGCGAAACACGCGGCCGAATGACTAGTGATTAGCCGAAATGAAAGACTTAGAATGGCACGGGGATACACTATAATGGATCCATTGTTCGGTACTCCGGCCCTCGGAGTAGAATTTAATACTTTACTCTCCCACGTCCCCCTTTATCCCTGTGGACCCAATTCCATCTTTGTCATTCTTTTGCCTGGATCAGTATTCATCGGATCATGGACACCTCAACCAAAGCGACCGCGTTGGAGACGCTGGACATGGGTATAGATTACAGGAAGCGAGGGGTCTCCCAACAAGGCGGGTCGGCACATGACGCCGATGAAATGCATCGCATGGGAAAAATTCAAGAGTTCAAGGTTTGTTCACTCGGTTTTGCAGGTATCACATCCATAGCTAATGCTCTGCAATTTAATTCAGAGAAACATGCGACCTATCGCAGCATTAAGCTTTGCATCGGTCTTGCAAGCCACGTGGGAATATCTGATCATGTGAGAGCTAATCGAAATATTGTTCCTCCCAGCGACAGGGATACAGGAAAAAGAAATTAACTTATTCCAGGTCAAACTACCAGGGACTGGAGAATGGAGGCCTACCAGGCATGTTCTGGTCATACATTTGGACATTTATTGGATTTGGATTCATTATCGCATCGTTGTCGGAAATGGCTTCGATAGCACCTACCGATGGAGGCCAATACCATTGGGTATCGGAGTTTTCCTCGCCTCGATACCAGAAGTTCCTCAGCTATATTACTGGTTGGATGTCCGTACTAGCATGGCAAGCCGGAACAGCTTCTGGATCCTTCCTCACTGGCACTATTATCCAGGGACTAATCAGTGTTCGCAATCCGGATTACGACCCTAAAGGGTGGCAAGGCACTCTACTTGTGTTCGCAATGGTTCTAGTGTCATACGTTTTCAATGTCTATGCATCGGAATTGATGCCAATCTTGAGTAACGTGTTGATGATTCTTCACGTCCTTTGCTGGGCAGTGATCTTGGTCGTCCTGTGGGCTATGTCTCCTCACCGATCTGCTGAAGCAGTTTTCGTCTCGGATTGGCAAAGTCTAGGAGGTTTACCCACAATGGGACTGAGTGTGATGGTTGGACAAATCTCAGCTATTTACGGCTGTCTCAGTAAGTTTCACTTATCTTATCCATGCAGAGAGAAGTCCGTGGAAACGAGAGACTAACTAGCCCATAGGTTCCGATGCGTGTGCGCATATGTCGGAAGAAATTAAGGATGCTGGCCGGAATGTACCCCGGGCCATGGCCTGGGGATATTTCATCAATGGAATCATGGCTGCTATCTTGCTGGTTGCCTACCTCTTCGCCACCCCATCCGTCGAGGATTCTCTTAACGACATTACCGGATTCCCATTCCTCTACGTGTTCAAGCAGGCTACAAATACGGCAGGTGTCAACGGGTTAACAGCCATTATCTTGGTACCTGTCATTTTCAGCAACATCATGTTCAACGCCTCCACCTCTCGCCAGACGTGGGCTTTTGCTCGTGATAAGGGTCTTCCCTATTCTCGATGGATTTCCAAAATCGATTCTAAGCGCAAGATTCCCGTCAATGCCATCGCTCTTACTTGCACCTTCAGCTGCCTCCTTTCTCTGATCAATATCGGCTCTGATACTGCATTCAATGCCATCATCTCTCTCAACACCGCTGCCTTGATGTACACCTACGTGATCTCAATCACCTGTGTGATCTGGCGAAAGATTTGGCATCCTGATACCCTGCCTGTTCGTCGGTGGGGTATGGGGCGGAGCTGGGGTTTAACAGTGAACATCATTGGCTTATGTTACTCCGTTTTCGCGATGTTTTGGTCATTCTGGCCAGGTGAGCTGCCGGTGACTGCTGAAAATTTCAACTGGAGTGTCGTGATCTTTTTGGCAGTTTTCGTTCTGAGTCTCATTATGTATTTCGTCAAGGGACGGAATGAGTATTCTGGCCCAGCTGTGGATGTCAAGCGTGAGGACTAGATTAATGTATAGTTGATCCACTATGACTTCGGTCCAAACAAATTTTTACTTTTTTTTATATATGCACTAACCGTGCCAACACAAATTACTATATCTATCACAGTTGTTAATAGCCGTGAGATCCTCGAAAACTAAAACAAATGAAAAAAATAAAAACATACAACAGTGAGGATTCGCTGGTGGTCACCCACCCAACTACTAACTCACCGGCGTGTGGCTTAAGTACGGCTGAGCGGACGGGAAGCCCTGTTTTCCACACCCTATGGTCGTATGTACAAGATATCTCACTGGAGAGGATTATAGAACATAAATTGTTAGGTACTGGATGAGGGGTGAATTAGGGTTCGGGTCCCTGGGTCTCGGTCCGGGTTTGCCAAGATCCATCCTTCTTTCAAGCATGATCTGGTACATGTACGCGTCGACTGTCTGATCTGATTTAACCACTGAAGCACGGTGACCAAGTCTTTTATGTCGGGAGTTGAAGGTGTTGTGAGAACATGAGACAAAGAAAGGAAAGGGGGTTTGGACATGTGCGGGGAAGCTGTGTGGCCCAGGGATGAAGTCGAGGTAGAATGAAAGAAACTGATTGTAGCACAAAATGACGGATATTGATGTTGTACATGTGTCATCTACTGCCTGCACTGTGGGAAAGCAGTAGAAGGCCGGGATGATGGGTTGTCACGGGTTTACGATCATGTGAGGCAAAAGCTCTTATTGAGGCTTGACTTGGTTTATATAGGGTGTTTCGTAAGGCATGGTTACATAGCAGCTTTTGTGACCATAGTAGAACAAATACTTTTGACTTGACGGGGGCACAGGTTACCGATTGTACAGAGGAAGTGATCTTTATGTTACCTACAGGGGTCGCATGTGTTGCATAATAATTTCATAAACAAATATCAAGATAGAACTAACTACTAGAATATTCGCACTATGAGCTCAAGGAACAGAGTTGAATCGTCCTTGAGGACAGCAGAGAAAACCATTGTGATGTTGAATCCATGAGGTCCTTTATTCAACCCGAGGAGAGGCCCGTGGTCCTTCCTATTGGGTTCTCAGCTCAGGCAAATCCAATAACTTCAACCGATCCTCGCTCATCATCCTATCTGTGGTAACCCGATCAGGATAGTTCCTCATGAACATGTTTGTGAAGTGGGTTCCGTAATGAATTTTTTCATCTGGGGGCTGGCCATCATAAAGCTTCGCAACTGGGGAGATCTCAGCTTGGAAGCTAGGTTCGTGGAAGTAGGCAAAGGCGAATCGCTCGCGGGTATTAAGGCCGACCTTGTGGGGGGTGGATGGTAGGTACGAGTTGGTCATGAACTGCATGATATCCCCTGGGGTATAGTGCATAAGAATTCTGAAGTATTCCAATGTGGAAGGAGAAGAATAGACAAACCTGGGAATACTGTGAAGACTCCGGGAACAGGGGGTACATAGACCCATCGTTCATCATCTTCACGGAAGCCAGCAGCACTCTTCTTCCAATTCTCCAGCTTCTCATCGGCCGCAGGGGGCCGAATAAATAGACCTTAAATAATCAGTGAATATATATCAGAAGATACAGCGGGAATCTCACCTCCAACCTCATCTTGGGCAGCAATGACCAAGAGACCGTAGTCCGTGTGAGACCCAATGCCGCGGCCATCTTTTCCTCTTCCATTAGTCTTGTTGTTTTGAGGGAACCTAAGCGTCAAGGTCAAAATATATCAAGAGTTATTCTCAAATAGAACCCATGTAACCTACCTCAGGATACGGAGATGATGCCATCCATCCTCGGTTAAGGAAGTCAAAGTCTTAGGATCCAGACCAAGTCCGTATTCAATCATCTGCAGCAGCGTTTCCCCGCTATTACCCAAAGACTCCATATACTGTTGTATAGGGGTCCTCATCTCAATATCTGGCCAAGGGCAAGGACCATGGCAAGGCCACTTGGCTTCCACTCGAGGGTCATCCAGGGGAAGATCCTTAGTGACCGTAAAAATCTCTGAATAATCAGCAACGCCATCTGTAATTTCCTCCCCGGAGGCAATATAGCCGGCGTAGCTCTGAGTATCCACACAAGCAGCCTTTTGACTAGAAGGCTTAGCAAAGAACTGTTTACTGGCAGTAAACGCTTTATCAAAGAGACCCTGTTGTTTAGGACTCATCGAAACCTGAAGGATACCATCTTCACGCCATGCGTTGATCATATCCTTCCCCATTTGAACGTCTGTAGGAGATCCGGTGGCCTTCTCGGGCAAAGTGAATGTCTTGAGCTGTCCAACACGAGCCACATAATTTG